ATCTAATGCATAGTTATAATACACTCTGAGGCAGAATATACATTCTGCTGAAGTAAAAGAACTTCTTCCAGAAATATCATATCATAAATCTTCAATACATTTTAATGGATATAAGTAATACAAAAGCCCCTTTGTCAATCATAGTCTAAGAAAAATAAAAACCAATTACAGAAAAAGAATAAAAAGCTCAAAATACAATGAAATTGAATAGTATACTTATAAATAACTAGAGAGTCAAAGGAAAAAATCAGAAAATACACTGAGATAAATAAAAATGAGGATACTATTTTCCCAAACCTTAGGATGATACAAAAATCATGTTTAGAGGGAGATTTATCCTAGTAATCACCTGTGTTAAGAAGGAAGAAAGATTCAAATTCAGTAACATAATCTATTTTAAAACAAGTTAAAAAGAACAAGCTAAACTTAAATCACAGAAGAAAGTAAAGATTAAAGAAGAAATCAATACAGAATTTTAAATCAATAGAAAATAACATATTTAAAATATTCTGCAAGTTTTAAAACTTTACCAATTGCAATAAATTCAATTACATATTTACCGAACGACTGGGAAGATGGCCCAGTCAATAAGCTCAAGGAGGGAGGTGAGGCATCAAGGACTACAACTCCCAGCATGCCAGAAGCCGGACATCCGCAGCTCTAAGGCGGGGTGGAGTAGAACAGCCACTGGGCAGTCTATCCACTGCTGCTCTGCGCTGTAGCCCTTCTCTCGCGGAGAGGGGACTCCAGCCTGGACGTGGAGGTCGCTCCTGCGGCTCTGGTGAAGCTGACCTTGGGTGTGACCCCCATCCTGGAATCTTCCCAGATGTGACCATCACAGAAAAGGTGCTTACTGAGGGTCATATGGTTTCTTCATGTGAACAAAAACACATCTGTGATGCCTGAGGCTGTGAGGAACTTTTACCTGATGACAGTGCATTCACATGACATGGAGTCAGTCTCTTCCAGGAGCAGGTTTGTGTTGTGGGTGGTGGGTTTATAGATACTGAACCATTGCTTGGCCTGCGGGCTAATGCTGTGGCTGAAGAAGGCACATTGCCACTGGGGAATCATCATTCCTTTGGCCGGCATAATTAACAACATCTCAAAACTGACTTGGCTCAACCAGTCCTCTATGCATTCACTTCCTATTGCACTGACTCTGGCACACCTCGAGACCATACCCATGTCACCTCGACTTGAGATGGATTTATGCAATGGGAATGGGAAGGTTCGCCTCATCTGTGAAAATGGGAAACCAGGATTAGCTTAGGATACAGATCTGGTTCCTGGACAGAGCATTTTACTGGCATTTTTCACAGATAACCTTTACTGCCTATTATGGCCTGCTCATCAACTGGGCAGTATGCCTTCATTAGCCATGGCATTAGCCCACAGGCCAAGCAATAGCTCAGTATATATAAACTTATCACCTACAACACAAACTTGCTCGTGGAAGAGACTGACTTCTTTGTGAATAAGCTGGATCCCAGCAAACTGTTTAAGAGCAAAACCAGGATCTTAATCCCCCAAAGAAAAGGATTGTGCAACCTGTAGGTGGTCAAAAAGGGTCCAGGCCCTCAGCTCCATCTACCCACCCCTAAGCCCTCCTCTGGCTCTTGAAAACTTGTTGAAAATGAGCACCCTCAACCCAGTTCTCCTCTGACCTAACAGTAGTGATTTCAATGCACAGATGAAATCCCAATCTCAAGTCCCTTATCTGACTGTAAGTGCATTCGTGAGTGAGCAAAACCTTAGGCCTTTATGCCCACTGTCACTAGCTAGGAGTTGGAAGGACATTCTGAATTCTCTCCAGGAGTCCTTCCCTCAGGAGGTTGATGGAGAAGTCCCCCCAAATAAACCCATGGCTTGACCCATGAGATAGTAGTGTTCATTCATCATATATCACCACTTCCATTATGAAAACTTCATGTAGTCAATTGCATTAGCCACATTTCAAGTGCTTATATGACTGGTAGTTTCCATACTGAATAGCAATGTTTTGACCAGCATTGCATAGGAATATTTTCATATTCTTCAGGTAATTTTTTACTGTTAGACAATAATGCCTTAACTTGATAGGCTATATAATGTTTCATAAAAGTGGTAAAGATTCTATTTTATGTTCTTTATGTACAATACAAAGAAATCTCACTTGAACCATTTCTTTTAAAATTTTCTGTAAAGTTCCTTGTTCCTGATCAGTTTCCTGTAAAACGTTTTGCTTCCAGCTTTGTGTTGTGATATTTCCTCATTTGTCAAAATTATTTTTTAAAAACATACTGTAGTCTATTAAAATGACCAGATATTGATTTGCAGAACTTTTCATAACTTGTTTGATAAAGCCAGTCTCTGTCAACAAAAATTTATACTTATTCTGCCCATTCACAGTTCTGAGTTGCCTCTCCCAACTTTCCAGAGAAAGTGAGTATCCTGTTTAGAACAGTGTGGGGTCCCAGGAGTTCCTTTGTAATTAAGGTTTCTGTAATTCAGAAGGCTTTATCCAGAGACACATGGTGGTGCTAGACATTTAGCTAGCCCATATATGCCTAATATTTGACACAAATCTGAATTTACCTATTGTATCTAACATAAAGAAAGATATTGCTTGAGATTTTTCAATTAGGAATATCAGTTTTTCTTGCTCTGAAACCCTGGCAGTGGGCAGGAGTTACCCACACAGACCCGGGGTTCTTGATGGTTACAATGTGTGTACTAAAATTCCAGAGGTGAAAGAAAGGAGTTCTGAGAAGGAAGTAAGTTAACTGATCAAGTGAAGTTTATTCATAAAATTAATTTTGGCAGGCACTTTTATACATATTTTTTTTGTTCTGTGATTGACAATATGAATATTGAATGGTACGTTTAAAAATTTGAGTATAACGTAAAGTGCCTGGGGAACACTTTAAGCCTTGCTTCAGGCCTGGTGTGGGACAGAAGAATCCCAACATGTTTCCAGGTCCTATCAGTGCTGCTGCTCCATGGACCACACTTTCCAGCAAGACTAGTACTCAGGATTATTTTTTTTGTTCTGTGATTGACAATATGAATATTGAATGGTACGTTTAAAAATTTGAGTATAACGTAAAGTGCCTGGGGAACACTTTAAGCCTTGCTTCAGGCCTGGTGTGGGACAGAAGAATCCCAACATGCTTCCAGGTCCTACCAGTGCTGCTGCTCCATGGACCACACTTTCCAGCAAGACTAGTACTCAGGACGCAGAAGATGCATGGAGCTAGAAGAGTATTACAAACCACAGCCCCAACTTCTGACCCCCACACTCTGACTTGAATCTGCATCCTTAACTCATGTAAAGTAACAAATTCAGAGGCATTGAATGGCAGGGACTCTCTTCTTCCATTTCACTTGTTGTGGTGACATAATAGACATTTTGTTCTGTGTTTTCTAAAGTCCTTTTTATTGCCTGTTAGCCTGCCCATCTCTCAGACCTGTCTCTACTGTACATCACTGGATTTCAAAGACTGTTAAAAATGAAGTATCATTTTTCTTCTCTCAAACTCTGTTGTGATACTGGCCTTTTTTTTTATGGCAAAGAACAGTGAGGGAAAACTACTTAAGTCCCAGCAAGGCTTTTGTTACTCAATGGAAAGAATCATATGCTGTTCTTTCCTTTAACTTAGGCCTGGCATTCTAGTACATTCAGTGTGCATCTATGGAAGCTTCCAAGGGAAGCCAATCTCAGACCCTTTGTTATATCAATGCAACTGTAGATTGGGTTTTATTTGTACAGTTCATAGTCTGTAGTTTGCTTTATATGACATTTGACTATAAAGATATTGTATTTATTTGTTTGTTTATTCATTTATGTGTGGTCTCTGTGTGTGTACGTCTTCTTATGTGTGTGCACACGTGCACGTAAGTGCAAGTACATGTACATCTAGGTGCATATGCAGGTGTGTATGTGTTTACATATGTGCATGTGCCTGTGGAAGCCAGAGGTGAATGTGAGGTGTCTTTCTTAGTTGCTCTGTATCTTTTTAATTGAATTTTTGCACATTTATTTTGGTCATATTTAGGTCCTTTCCCCTGTCCACACATACCCTTATTATCCTCCACCCAACTTCATGTACTCTATTTTTTATATATGCATGTAAAGGTTTATAGAATCTAATTTGTGTCCCTAAATGTCCTTTGATGTGGGCCCATCCGTTGGAGCCTGGTTAACCTACTAAGAGTCTCACCCTTGAAAGAGACTGACTCTCCCCTTCCCAGCAGCCATTGGTTTCTAATAGTTCCTCAGATAGGATTGAGGTTTCTTACCTAGTTCCCCACATCTATGCTAGGATTTTGTCTGGCCTGAGTTTACTTGGCACTGGTGCATGCTGTCATCATTACTGTGAGTTCATATGGGTAACATCCCAGCTGTCTGGAAAACTCTGTTTCCTTGTGGTCATCCATCCCCTCTGGCTCTTACAATCTCTCTGCCACCTCTTCAGCAGTGATCCCTGAGCCACGGGAGACAGAAGTTTGCATATGTGTCCAATTCAAAGATAATCACTGTGCAGTCTCTTATTCTCTGCAAGTTGGCCAATTGTGAGTTTCTGTGTTAATTACCGTCTGCTGCATAAGGAAACTTTTCTGGTTCCAGTTGAGAGCTACATTAATCAATGCGTTAGTATAGCAATCATTAGTATAACAGTCATTTGGAGTCACTTTAATACTATATCTATTTGAATCTCATTTTTTGAGACAGGGTCTCTCGTTGACCCTGAAGCTCACTGAGTCAGCTAGGTTAGCTGCCCAGTGAGCTCCAGGGATCTACCTGTCTGTCTTTCTTTCTCTGGAATGACTAGTGTGTATCACCACACCTGGCTTTCTACATGGGTGCTAGGGATCTAAACTCAGGTCCTCACACTTGGGCAGCACTTTGCCAACTGAGTCATCTCAACACATAAAGGCATCATTTTTAAATGTGTACGATTTTTGGTATGAAATAAGTATGGCCTGGTGTGTAATGCATGTCATTTGATTTGTTACAGAACTCAAAAATAGTCACAGTAAAGGCAAGAGGAAAACCAGAACAAGAGCATGGGGGAAAAGGAATAGCCTGGCTGATGATGTGGAGCTCTTAAATAGTGGCTTGGCAACAAAGACGTTTTCTGCCTATGGCAACAAGACAAATGGCACGAGGGAAAGGAGGACCCACAGAAGAACCAAACGTTTTCTGTCCTATCCACGGTTTGTAGAAGTGATGGTGGTGGCGGACCACAAAATGGTTTTATACCATGGAGCAAACCTTGAACATTATATTTTAACCTTAATGGCAATTGTAAGTACATCAAAAAGAAGGTGATTGATGAGCTGACTCGATGTCCTATTGGAGAATGGGTTTTCTTTTCCATACTGCCTTGTAGCATCAGTCAGGCCTGACATTTCAGCCATGCAAGCAGATGACCAAAGAGAACGTGTGTTTACTTATTTGTTGCCTTTTTATAATGATGGTGGTAATTATCAGTCATTAGTGTGGATGCTCTGCTGGAAGATGTGCTTTTGTACCTAAAAGGCTGTGTTTCTGATCCTCCTGGCAATTAAACTGAAAGCAAAATAAATTGGAATTATTAGAAAATCAAGAAGAACTAGAAACTACTCATTAAAAGCTGAATATCCTTCTCTGTACATGTTCCCGGTACCCTCCCAGTGGCAAGCATCGTTAGTTTTTGCTACTTCTAACCAGTACTGCCTATTAAAAATATAACCCAATGCACATATTTAATTTTAAATATCCTAGTAGCCACATTTTAAAAAGAATGTAACAAAAACAACTAAAAACTTAATTTTGATATTTTTGTACCTAACCATGATCATTTCAACAATTATGATGAAATATTTTACTTTTTTATGCTAAGTCTTCAAAATCTATTATCTTTGGATTCAACTAACCTTGTATCAAAATGAATTGGAAGGGCTGAAGAGATAGTTCAGCAGGTAAAATGCTTGCTTCACAAGCATGAGGATCTGAGTTCCATCCCTAACATCCATATAAAAACAGGTGTGGTGGTGGTATGCACTTGTAATCCCAGCACTGGGTAGGTAGACTTGAGTGGATAGATCCCTGGAGCTTGATGGCCAGTGAGAAATCTTGGCTCTAAAAATCCTACATCTATGCTAAGACACATACAGACTTTCGTCTTATTATTAGTTCCTAAGCAATGTGATGTGACTAGTCATACGGAGTAAGGTATTAGAAGTAATCTAGAGATGATTCTGCACAGATAAACCATTTTATATAAGCAGCTCGAGCACTTGCCCATTTCCTTAGCAATCCTGGAACTCGTAAGATACAGAGAAATTACTTCACAACTTTTTTTTCTCAGACAGGAAAGGAACAGTCTCATATATTGTTTTACACATTGGTATTTCAATTTTTTCTTCAGTTACACATTGGTGCATGGAGATCATTTTAAGCCATAGCATGGCATTCCTTTTTATGGATTAACCCTTATTTATCCGAACAAGATTCTACTCAATAAATTCCCCAAGTGAATGTGAAAATCCACATGTCTGAGAATGCTGCTGTCTTCTTCATTCCCCATGGCCTGTCCTGGTCCTTGCCTCTCCCCGTCTCCCCAGCCATGGGCCACCCCACATGCTCCCCCAGCCCATTCTCCCCTCCACCTTCTTATCCTCACTTCTGCCCCTACTTGTTTCCAAATGCCCCAGCCCCCTCCTCCCCAGGGAATAGAAAAGAAGACCTAATCAGACCTTGCATACCTCAGCTCCATGTCCACCTCATGGTCTCAAGGTCTGCCCGAACTTTGATTATGAATATGGAAGTTGGGTCACATGGCCCAGGCTGAGAGTTCTGGATCCACTGCTTGCCACTGTATAGCCTTGGAAAAGTTACTTAATGTCTCTGAGCCTTTATGCCTTCTCTTTCATAGAGATTATAGCAGTACCCAGCCCAGAGTTTTGCTGTGGAAACTAAGTGCAAATTCAGTTTTCTGCCAAATCTAGTCTATAGTATGCATCCAGTGAGCGTTAGCTCTCATAACATATTACAACAACAAAACAAATCAGAAACAGGTTACGGTGGTTGTGAGAGTACAAATGGGCAATAAGCATAAGGAACAGAAATTATCAACAATCATGTAAGAACCCAGGACTTCAAATAGCAGCAAAGTGCTCAATGGAAAATTGATATACAATGTTTTGGAACAGAGAACTGTTAAGTCACACGATAATTCAATTTCAAGGGAAAATACCTCGGAATTTAAACTTGTTAGAGTTCATTACTATCTAAACCTGCCATCTGTGCATTTTACAAAGAGACTTAAAATCAGTGTTTGTTGAATGAACATTCGAACTATAAAACACATATGTTGCATGAAATGTAAAAAGAGCTAGAGCCCAACCTAAGAAGTGAATTGCGTATTGCTTACCCCAGAGTTCACAATTAACTTTGAAAAATTTATCTCGGTTGCAGGTAGCTTCTATCTATAAAGACCCAAGTATTGGAAATTTAATTAATATTGTTATTGTGAACTTAGTTGTGATTCATAAGGAACAGGTAATAAAGTTTTGTTTTCTTTTTTATTCTATCTGTATCCCAAATGGCATATCTAAATGGTGTTGGTTGCATAGACCAAGCGTAATTCTTCTCTGTATTTAGGAAGGACCTTCCATAAATTTTAATGCCCAGGCAACGTTAAAAAACTTTTGCCAGTGGCAGCATTTGAAGAACCTCGAAGGTGAGACACACCATGACACTGCTGTGCTGGTGACAAGGTAAATGGGTTTTCGCCTCCTCGTCTCTCTTGCTATCATCAGGTCAGGTTGATGGGAAGGGTCCTGCATTGCTGGTAACCCTTCCTCACAGGGAAGTTCTCAGCTTAGTCATGATGGACAGTTCGTACCACATAATTGTTGTGCAGGCTGCCATATTGCAGTGTGTCTACCAGCATCCCTGGCCTCTGCCCCCTATATATCAATAGCACTGTCTCTCAATTATGACAAGCTACTTGGTCACCAAACACTGCCACATGTGCCCTCAGGAAAGGGGGTGGAGGACAAGAATCACTCTGGCCGTGAACCTCTATCATATGTGTGCCTGTAAGAACTCAATCCGTCAGGCAGGCCTGGAAACGAATGCCCTTCCATGACAGGCAGCTGCTTGCTTGTCACAACCAACTTGTGGTTGCCATGCAGGACCTGAGTCTAGTGTTGCCAGCTTATGTGTTTTTTTTGTTGTTTTTTTTTTGCAAGAAACCAGAAATAAGAACTTTTTTCAAATGTGAAATTTCCTTTTCTTTGTAATTTTTTTGAATTTTTGTGTATTTCATGCAGAACATCTTAATCAGTTTTAATCATCTTTATACCCCCTTTCCCACTGACACGCTCCCATAGCCCCCCACCCACTGAAATTCACACATTCTGTCATTTGTGTTAAGGCCAATTGCATCAAGTTAGTGTCCCCAGATGTCCCTCAGTACAAGTTCATCCACCGGGATCTACTCAGCCTACCTTAGAGTCCCTCCCTTTAAGATCAGCTCTTTCTCACCAGCAGTAATCAGCTGCCAGTAGTTCTTCGGCTAAGACTGGGGCTTGTTGCCCATTTCCACAGTTCTTTGCTGACATTTCCCAGTTTTTAAGTAGCAATGCCACTCTCAAGGAATGCTTTAAAAATTGTACAAGGCAACAAACAGGGGCTCTGGTTTAATGGTGCCTCTCATCATGGGCCACCTCTGGTTATAAACACTCTTACTCCCCCCGAAGTCACTGCAGGAGATTGAACCCAGGGCTTTGCCCAGACCTTGCACATGGGCTCTACCACTAAACCATACCCCCAGCCCACCATGCACTTACATGAAAATCAGTTAGCACTTTACAGTCTCTTTCTCTAGGGTATCAGCCAAGTCTTGCTAGGTGAGGTTTCTGGTTGTCCTGTGGCTACCCTAGAGGCACAGCAGACTTCTCCACACAATCTTTATCCCTTGAATCAATGGCTTTTACAAACTCTTTTGGGTTGCAAAACCCTGCCTTTCCTACTTGTTTTTTGTTATTCCCCTCAGTAAAATGTGTGTTATTGTGAATGCCTGGAAGTTTCTCAAGTATTTACTTGCATTGACCTTTATTCTGATGTTGTCACAGCCTAAGTCTGCTTTGCTTTCAGGCAAGATATCTGCAGAGCTCATGACAAATGTGACACCTTAGGTGAGTGCTCCTTGCATGTCCTCCATGGCTAAAATAGTTTCTTAGAGGTTTATCTTCCAAGTCACAATTGCTTTTTAAAGTAAATTCTTGGTTGTTTCTCTCCCTCCCTCCTTCCAATAGGTCTTGCTGAACTGGGAACCATTTGTGACCCCTACAGAAGCTGTTCCATTAGTGAAGACAGTGGCTTGAGTACAGCTTTCACAATAGCCCATGAGCTGGGTCATGTGTAAGTCTTCATTCAATCATTTCATTTAATTCAGAGTAACTTAAAACTTTGTTCTTTTCTACCAGTGAGTATTCATTTGATTTTAGAGGAGCTAAGACACTTCCCAAGTCCGAGTAGACTCTGCAGAGTTGAAAGCTCTGAACCTCCTTGGGAGAAATGACTTGGACTTCAGAAGTTTGAGTAAATGCAGTACATACTCTTCGGCCCTAGCCCTGTCTTTGGCTTAACTTCTCATGTTTGATGTGCAGAATCTAATAATATTCTCTTCTTCTATTGGGAACCCCCCAAAAAGGGACCTTTTGATTCCCTCCAACAAAGCAAAGGGTGTATCAGCTGGAGAACGTTCTTCATTTAACATCACTGTCCAGGAAGTGGCCTCAACATTGCTCCAGCCCACAAGATTTCACAAATCCAGAGCCTTCCCAATTTTAGTTACGTGTAGCTATAATTCAGATGGCATCTGGATCCGTAATAGGCCTCCTTTAGTAAAGAAAATGAACAAAGATTCAAAAAAAGATTTGTTTCTTAATTATGATCATTAAGTGGCCATTGTGAAATAGCCTTTCCTGTTTGTTTATAGAGACAGAGCATGATTAGAATATAGGGCAAGTCAATGTAAATTTACCAGAAATTATTTCTAAAACAATTAAACTGTGTTTCATTTATCTCTTTAAAATAATCTTCTCAAAAAAACCATTAGTATAGTAGAAATATGTGTGCATGTGTCAGATGTTAATTTTACCTAGAGCTAATATCATCAACGAAGCAAGCTTTTAAATTAAAATGCTTTCCAAGGATCCTTTGTATGCAGTACATTATGCTAGGTTTGGTACAAGGTATATGCGGACACATACCTGCACACGCACACGCAAAAATGTCCAATTCAGTTCAACAAACGTCTTCCAAGCACATGCAGAAATGTCCAATTCAGTTCAACAGATGCCTTCCAACCATTTTTAAGAGCATACATACCTGCTTTCTCACAAGGAAGGATTATCAAATACTTAGCATTTAGGATGCAAACAAGGCATGGCTTTCAAATTAGGCAAGGCAGAGTGGCTTTGTCAACATCTTCTTGGTCCTTATGAGTCCTGAGGCATCTTCATGAAATGCAGAGACTCCTCAAAGACAATTCTATTCCCAGGTTCCCCCCACCCAGTAGCCAGGACCTTGACCAGGTGATTAAACCTCTTTATGCCTCAGTTCCTTATCTACACAATGTGGGGAATAGTACAGTCATCCCGGGTATCTGTGGGAGGCTGGTTCTAGAACCTGGCATGGGCACCAAAATCCACAAATGTTCTTTATATCAAGAGGCACAGTATTTTTATATTACCTGTGCTGATTTTTCTATATACTTTAAATTGCCTCTAGATGACTAGCAATATGTAATGTGATGTAAATAGCTGTTATGTTGCATTGACTAGGGAATAGAGACAAGAAAAATGTCCACACATGTAGTACAGACACAGCTTCATGCTTTTCCCCTGAATATTTTCCATTTGTAGTTGATACACCCTGCGGATGTGTGCCCAATAGATGCGGTGGGCCCATTGCACTATTCCTACATCGAATAAGTGATGGGATGAAACAAAGATCTAAAGCATTGAACACTCCTCCTTAAACACTGTGGGTGCCGAATAGTATTAGCTATTATTCTTTTGTTAATATTCAACAAATTATTATTATTATTTAGCTCCTGCAGTGAGCAAATGTGCCTGGCCCTTAAATGAAAATAAATGTATTGTTTATTTGTACAATGGAGTAAAATTGATTTTACCAAGTTATGGTGAGCTGGGAGTAAAGGCCAGCCCCTTCCTACCACAGAGAATCAAGCTAGGACTTGAGTGCTTTCCTTCTTTGGGGCACACTAGTATAGAAACTGCATTGACTCCATAGCTGGGATCTGGAAACCAGAAGAGATCTTTAAAGAAATAGGCTTTTAAGCCTGGAAAACTTGGAGTAAATTCATTTAAGACAGATCACATTTTTCCTCTCTACTGGCAAACTAAAGAGCCTGAAATTTTTTAAAGCAGATAACATAACAAACACAGAGAGTTAGTGAGCTAGACCCACAGGCCTCTTATTCCAGACTTTTCTTTTATGAGAAGTAGGTCTACACCCTTCTATTTCATAGATTCCTAGATTCAGCATGAACTAGGGAAGGGAATTGCTCCTTCAGTGCTAAATTAACCGCATGCTCAGTTTTGTGATTGACAACAGTCTTTTCCAGAGAGAAAAAGACCCTCTGACCTTGTCACCTAATGGATAATTGCCTGGGCTGAAAGGCCATTTGGGTCATGGGGTGAAATGGGGCGGGGAGGGGGGGCAGTTTACACTGAGGAAATACTATCTTTTTTTCCCACTTCCTCTGGTGAAGCCAAGAATGGAAAGTATGTGTGAACACTGCAGTCTCTGAGTCCTGCCCAGGCCCAAGAGGATGCTGGCAGTCCTCCACAGCCTTCCCTAAGGCAGAACCTGAAGGAGTTTAAGATCCTTCTTATGCCTGGCTTTTCAGGAAGCCAGCCAATCAGCTGGCATTGGTAGGGAGCATGAATCCAGTTACCATGTCTGCATTTGACTGGCTTAACTGACTTGCCTGCAGTTCCCATGATCACTTCCTCTGAGTTTATTGTGCACACGCTTTACATACCTTCGAAGTGCTGCACCTCCACAGGTGCATCATTTGTCACTCTGACCCAGAAAGAAGAGATGCCAAAGCCCATAGTGTGAGCCTGTTATTACAAAGCGTTTGGCTTCAGTTTTTGACACTGATTTATTCTTTATATTCACAACAGTACAGTATCCTGCCAAAATCTTGACTCCATGAACTACCCTTTAACAGACTATTAGGAATCCCAATGACTCTATTCTAGCACCAACTACAGCACATTCAGAGTCTGCAATTCCAAAAAGTGTACCTAACCCAAAGAAAGGGATCAGCACATATCTTTCTGTAGTCACTAAAGGCACTTTATATGTTTGGGTAGAAATTCTCTTTTGTTCTATATTCCATCTTGAGTTGTCTGAAATTTTAGTCTGCTCACCTGGATTCAGGTCCTTATATCCACAGGAGGCAGTAGCAGTTTTATTTTTTAAAATATTAGACAGACGTGTTCTTAAGTAGTTATACCAGCATGATCCACTGGCGTTTACTGACATTCTAACCATTGCCTCATTGACTTTAGGTTCAATATGCCTCATGATGACAACAATAAGTGCAAAGAAGAAGGTGTTAAAAGCCCCCAGCATGTCATGGCACCAACATTGAACTTCTACACCAATCCCTGGATGTGGTCAAAGTGTAGTCGAAAATATATCACTGAGTTCTTAGAGTAAGAGTTAAATTTCCTTTTAGCACAAGCTTCTTGTATCTGCTCTACGTGGAGTAAACTGTTGTGGGAAGGAAAATAGAATTAAGCATTCCTTTTGGGTTGTTATTTTTGTTAACATTCCTTGGAGGAGGAAAAAAATTACTCTCTGACATCTGTGTAGTTCATAGCTTTGGCAGGGTTTGGAAGATTACAGACTGTACTGAAGAAAAGGGTTGAGTTCTTAAAGGGAATATTCAAATGTTGCTGAATTTGAGTAAGGCTTTGAAATTTGAAAGGTCTTTGGAGAGGGCGGCAGTGGTGAAGGCTTTGCATATTTATGTACTACTGACCTAGTAATCTTGGTTTGGAAAGGAATGGGGTAGAGGTAGAATGTCCAAGGAGAGTCTGTGGGCGAAGTGGAGGCAGACTCCCTGTGGTAGAAGTAAGGATATGGCCTCTACTATCTCTACTGTTTCTCCTACTCTTTCTTTTCCTATTTCGTTATTTTTTTGTTGTTTGTTTTTTAGCTCCTCGAAAATCCAATTATATTACAAAATACCCTTGTGTCACAGACTTACTATTCTCCTCTCCCAGGAGTGCAGAAAGTTAAATGACTGTCCCAAGTTACTGCGTATATATTTCACAGGCACAGAAACAAGAGGGCTTTATTAATCAGAACTCACTGGGTGTGGATATTCCAAGAGAGATGTTTGTGGAAACTTGAAATAACAAGGGGGTTGATGTTTCCCCTCTAAGCAGGAGGTGTGAGGTGTTTTCTTTCTGTGAGATGTTGAGTACTTAACTCATCCCCTCAACAAATATTTACTGAACATTTGCTGTAGACCCCATGCACTGATATACAAACACTCTCTGTGCCCATAAGAAGCTTACAGTCTATTGGGAAAGATAGTAAAGACTAAACAGATAGTCACCCCAAAGGTGACCTGTGCTCTCACAGATATTACCAGTCCCTGTAGCTATGTCATAGGCGCAGTGTCTTTCTTCAGAGTGTGTGCCAAACATACAGCATAACTTCCAGACTTGCCTTTGACTTAACTTTGGATGAAAAGAGTAAAACAAAGGTCAAAAGGAGCAGTCTTTGCTACCATTAGGTACACGGTGGCCTTCACATTTATCTAGAGCCTTTGATAGTCCATCTCACCATCTCTGTGCTTTTGTTTCCCATAGCACTGGGTATGGTGAGTGTTTGATGAATGAACCTGAATCCAGAACCTACCCTCTGCCTTCTCAACTGCCAGGCCTCCTTTACAACGTGAATAAACAATGTGAATTGATTTTCGGACCAGGTTCTCAGGTGTGTCCATATATGGTAAGTGTTCACGGTAGTTTCTGCCCTCGATTGTTGATTCTGGACTTTTCTGTAGTTGTATTTTTACGTTGGATTCCCATTCTAATATAAATTACCTCAAAAATTGGTAATGCCGAAAGTGCTTGTGATAATAGTTATAAAGTGTACGGGACTCAGTGGCACGCTACTCTGCCTGTGCTTTTTCATTGCACTCTTATGACAGCACAAAGGGGATACATTGTCATTTGCAGTTGTCAGTAAGAAAGTAGGGCCCAGAAAGGCTGGGGCTACAGAGCTGGCAATCACATAGCTTGGCTTTTTTCTCTTCTTTCATGTTCTTCAACTTGTCAAAGTAACCTTAACCACAGAGACTTTAGATTTGGTGAAGGGAATTCATGGGACAGCCCTGGTTTCCTGTCTTGTCAAAGTTGAGTCCTGTGACCACCTGGATCCTTAGTTCACTTCTGGCGGTCCCCTAGCTGGGTGTGTGTGTGGTAGTGGTGTTTCAGTGTACAAGCCAAGAACCTGTATAGGTAAGCAGAATTACACTTCTGTGGGGTGCCTCAGGTTGTATCTTTGGGAAGATCTTTTGCTCAGAGAGACTTCAGACAGTTTGATGGATTGGGAGTATACTGATTCCATGAAATAGTTAAAAAGTTCAAGTAACTCCATAATAATATTCACTTCTGTGTTATTCATGTGAAAATTAAACTATAAAGCTGAGCATGCATGGGAAGACTGTCTCAAAAGCAAAACAAAAAAAAAAAAGAAAGAAAGAAGGAAGGAAGAAAAGAAGGAAGGCCAATGAAAGAAAAACGAGGCAAGTTTTAGTGTCAGCACTGTATAGCAGGCGAAATGCTCTACACCTGAGAATATGCACCTTATAGACCGTTCAATAACATATGCTCTCAACATTAAAAGGAGAAAGAAAAAGTACAGAAAAAGTAGGTAATTAGAAGCTTCTTTTCTTTCTGTTTTTTAAAAAAATGAATTTAAGGGGCTGGAGAGATGGTTCAGCGGTTAAGAGCACTGACTGCTCTTGCAGAAGATCTGGGTTCGAATCCCAGCACCCACATGGCGGCTATGAACCGTCCTTAACTCCAGTTCCAGGGAAATCAGAAGCCCTCTTCTGACTCCATGGCATTGCACGACACGGGTGCAATAAAGTACACATAAAGTAAAAACAATAATAAATAAAAAATTTTTTTTAATGCATTAAAAAAATAAATATTTTTTTTTCAAAAAGTTAGGGGCTGGAGAGATGGCTCAGCGGTTAAGAACACTGGTTGTTCTTGCAGAAGACCCGGGTTCAAATCCCAGCACCCACATGGCAGCTAACAACTGCCTGTAGTTCCAATCCTAGGGGATCCCACATCCTCTTCTGTCCTCCATGGGCATTGTATGACATGGGTGCACTTACCTACATGGAGGCAATACACACATACACATAAAGTAAAAAAAAAAAAATGTTAATTAAATTTTAAAAATACATTTTATTGCCCTATAACTTTTCTACTAGAAGGATGGTTTGTTTCAATAATTAGGAAAAATTAAAATTAAAATGTTTATAATTTGAGGGTCTGGGGGGCATAGTTTATTTGATAAAGCACTTTACTTGAAAGCATAAGGGCCTGAATTTAATACCCAGACCCCATGTAAAAATGCCGAGTGTGGTGGTGTGGGCTTGTGATCCCAGTGTGGGGAGGCAGAGACAGATGGACACCTGTGGCTTGCTGGCCAGCCAGTCCAGCCTAACTGGTAAGTTCCATGCCAATGAGAAACCCTGTCACAAAGAAGATGGTGGCATTACTGAAGGTGACACCAGGGTGTTCTTTGGCCTCCATATACATGTGTATGCATCTGCATGTGCACCCGCACATACATGAGCATATACACTCGTACACACATGCATTAAAAAAGTATACCTTGAAATAGTTTAGTCTGTCAATGGGGATAAGTCTTAAATGCCGTTTTCAGAAGAAGAAAGCAAATTGCAAGATGTGTTGGTGTGGTCCAGTCCATAGGGAGCTTAAATACTGTATATTACTCAAGGATTTTCAAGCATTTGTACACAAGCATAGGGAAAACTGAATTAATAAACATTGCTGGGAACAGGGTCACCCCTAGGGAAAAAGGAACAGAAAAGGTCCCCAGGATGAGTATACAAGGCCATTGACTTGCTTGTGGATTGTTCTTTTCCTTAGCTTGGTGATGATGGTATGTGAGTAGCCATCCTGTTTTTTTGTATGTGAGAAATATGTCACAATATTTTGTCTGTATTTCCTTTCATAACCCCTAAAAGTCTTAAAAATGACTTATAGCATGATCATGATATTATATGTCCCTAGTAGAAACACATGTGCGCACACACACATGCAGAGGCACACACACACATGCACACACATACTTGTGCGTGTTCGTGGCCACACACATGCTCACACATTCACAGGTATGTACATGCATGCACAGGCATGTTTATGCACACACAGGTACACAAGCTCATATATAACACATTCACAGTCATACACATACATGCACACACACTAGTTTTGGAGCCAAGATAAAGCAAAATTGAAGTCATAGCCAATCACACAATTGTAGTGTGATGTTGAACTTGCACCCTCATCGCTCTGAGCCTCAGTTTCCTCATCATTAACATGGGGGAGGTATGATGGAGAACCCGCACTGTCATGTCTGTCTCAGATGCCCTCTTGTCTCTGGGCCCTTTCCTGTACAGCACTGTGCCTCACCAAGCAGAAATGGGTGGCTCTACTTTGGAGCATTTTATCATTTATCGTACCAAGAAAAAAAAATCCCTTTGGTTGAAAGGGATTCTTGCCCCGTGTGATCACATTGTGCCTTATTTGTCTCCCTCCGAACGGAGCAGATGCAGTGCAGAAGGCTCTGGTGCAATAACGTGGAAGGAGCAAACAAAGGCTGCCGGACTCAGCACACGCCCTGGGCCGATGGAACCGAGTGTGAGCCTGGAAAGGCAAGTAGCACCCTCTCTGTCCCTCCATCCTGGGACAGAAATGCACATGTCTTGGGTTGATTCATGCCACATGAGATAATGTAGCCTGTTTCAGCATGTGTGGTTTTTGAGGCTAAAGGTACAGTTTACTATTGAGAGCTGTAAAACGTATGTTCAGTAGATGAATCTGTTAGGTATGTGGTGATGGATATTTCTTTCTCTTCTGAGAGTGGCACTGGAATCCGATTATGAAATTGACAGGGCATCTTAAAATCAAAGAAATACAAAAAAAAAAAAAAAAACCTTCTGTGAGCCGAATACATCCATTATTGTTTTACCAGACTTTTGCCAAGTATGTTGCGTTTTTCTTATAGCACTATGATGTCACCTGGGACATATCTAAACCCAGATTCTCATGAGCTGGTTGTTATGGTTCCCACCAATTCGTTAATAACTAGACAAAACCTGCTGTTTGTGTGGGCCAGTGATAACAGAGTCCCAGGTACCGAGGAGTATGATTAACCTAACCTTCTGGACCTGGCGTGCATCTAGAACCGACTGCCCTTGGCTAATGATGTCATTGTCCTCTTCCCACTGAAGCATCTACTAAAGGAAAGCATCAGCTGTAGGTCCTGACGTGCAGCCCGGTGGGCTCCGTCACTTCCCAGGTGCAGAGACCTGTTTCGGACACTCGCCGTCCTTATCACTTCTTTGCTTTTCTCTCTTCGCATTTCTAGACTTCACTTGTTTTGAGCAATCTATTCTCGTCTGACACCCTTTCCCTCTGCTTTAATTTGTAGAGTTTATAATAGCCTGCATATTTCCTTACAACGAGCTCTAAGGAAGCGATGACAGAATTGAAACCTCTCTTCCTTGATCTTATGCATAGGGGACCCAAAAACACCAAGTGTTTTGTGTCAGATCGCTCAAGTAACTTAGAGGAAGTGCTGCCCCAAAACTTTCCAGGGCAGACCCTCTCCACCACAGCTCTACCTGTTGCTTCTGAAGGGACAGCTGGTGCTTGAAGGACCCATGACTCAGCTGTCTGAGTGTCTTCAGTGTGTACTGGCCAAATATGAGGACCCTTTCATTACTTGTGTCTCAAGGTAGTTATGATTAAAGGAACTATTGGGTGTGGAAGTTATTTAGCTAAATCATGATAAAGATGATTTTGTACTTAAGTTGGTGGCAAAAGCAGCTCCAGGTTGAGACCTCAAAAATCATTTCAAAGTACAGCACTCCCAAGTAACAACCTAACAGAAACCATACAGAGGCATAGGAATAATAGCTTCTAGAACTTTCATCATCTTTTTAAAAAGTATATCTCTTTGTCTAAAGAGTGAATCTTGCACTTTTGGTGGGACTTTTAACTGAGTGTGTCAGCAGCTGTAGGATCATAGGTTTGTGTGGGAACATGATTCTCAGGTTCCCATAACACTCATTAGAAATTCGACACAACACTCATTCTTATACAATCAGGATGTCACCTGTAAGTCCTTCTAGATGCAGTAACCCAGACAGCTGATGCCAGTTGACAGGAGATGACAATACACATGACACCTACTTGACAACTTGGTTAGTTGGCTGAGGGTGGAGCTAGTCAATTATATCACTATCTGATCCCAGCAAAGTTGCTGGTGTTGTATTCTGGTTCTTTGTCTCTCTGATTGATGCACACACTCACTGTGTCTGTGTCTGATACTTCTTACTGCTGGAAAATCGCTACAAAGGAGAATTCCCAAGGATATGACGAAGTGGCTTGTACTTAGTGAAATTGTCACCAAGGGTCTCTAAAGCTCCATGTAGCTGTAGAGTTTCCCAACCAATTCTGGAACACCAAAGGACTTGGAGGTCTATTGTTTCTCAACCTCTGTGTGTGCGGAGACTCAGAAGAGAAGGGGGTTCAGATAATCTCATAGCTTCTGCGAGGTGAGGAGTCTGGGGTGGAGGGACCTTTCAGAAGACTCTGTCTTCAGTGCTTATGTTCACTCAGAGTAGACTTCAGGCCTTCCACAGAACAGGCTCCAGCCAGCTTTAGAAAAGCAACAGTAAAATAATAGGTTACCTTTTTAATTGTATTTTAGAACCATGGCCAGGTCTAGAAGCTTTTTATAAAGATGCACATACTCAGAATATGGATGTGTTTTACAGATGCCAAAGGAGATGTTGATTTTGGCATGGGAGTTCTGTGATCTTTTTGTTTCCTGTTGATTGCTCAGAATGACAGCCTGTCCTTTCTCCATTTGCCAGCCCACTCTCACTCCCTTTGCCCCAGGGACACTTTTGGTTTTTCTTTCCCTTCTTTCTGCCCTGCTCCCTCAGCAGTAATCTATCTTGGGCTGCTAACACAGTGTTATTTTGATGAATGACCTCACCAATGTCTCTTTATTTTCTCCATTCTCTTGTTGAGTCCACAAACATTTTCATTTTAACCCTGTCTGTGAACCTGAATTTGAAACTCTCTTGTTTCAGGACTCCTTTGGAACAAAACTGACCTCCACTTCCCCTTTCCAACCTCTTAAAAAAAGATATATTTATATAAAATTTCATTTAAATGGTTTTGGACCAAAACTGGAGATGGCTCAGTGGCAAAGAGTGCCTGCGATGCAGGCATAAAAGCCTGAGTTCAAATTCTAGCACCCATGTAAAAATCTGGTCATGACCACACATACCTATAACCCCAGAACTGTGATAGGCAGAGACAGAATGGTCACTGGAGCTTCCTGGGTGTCAGTCTAGCTCCAGGTTGAATGAGAGAGGCTGTCTCAAAGGAATAAGGTAAAGAGCAGAGCAATGGAGCAGGAGGACACACATGCCCTCCTCTGGCCCCTGCACAAGGACCACACAGGTGTATACCGTCACCCACATATGTATACTTACACCAGACAGACAGAGAGAGAGAGAGAGAGAGAGAGAGAGAGAGAGAGAGAGGCTAAGCTGATTTCAACTCAACCCACTGGCCATTTAATGCTTGGTTGTGATGTAATGGCAGTTCCCATGTACAATTATGATTTGTCAAATTTACCTCGTAAAATAAAAATACAGTTTCCAAACAACCCCCCGTGCCCAGGCTTTGGTGCATCAGATGCTTTCCCTTTCCTCTGGGGTTCTTTATCACTTTTGGAAATCTGCTCACTTTTAGATCACTAGGAAAGGTTTGGTTTTCAGACTATTTTTAATTAGAAGTTTTCTTTTAAACAAAGGACCACAGGCACATTTGAGTGCATTGCTGACCTGACACACTCTGATAAACTTTGTCCCCGTTTTATTCTGAGGTTCATGTTGAGGTCTGTGAATCTCAGTGGATTCTGCTTGCATCTCTTTGACTACCTCTATTTGTAGGGGAACTTGGAAATACACAAGTTTTCTTACCAAGGATGAAGGGCAGAGTGGATGCTAAGAAAGAAACGTGGGGTTTTTATCTGTACCTTGGCATCTCATTACACTTTTTCTATTGAAAATTTTAGTCTTTATTTGGATGCCTCAAATGATTTCCATTTGTGCACAGTGGAATGTAAGATGTAGAACTCAGATACCTGTGCCCCACCCCACCCCATGCCTCTTACTGATGATGGTATGAATTCTGTAGTATGCCTTTGTTTTCTTTCTATGGGAATGAGGAAGATACTAGTGCTTACTTCCTAGGGTGTGGTGATGATTAACTTACTGTAAGACTGAGAATCCTTCATCTAAACTACTTAAGGCCAGAAGTCTATCGTATCTCTCTCTCTTTTTTGTTTTTTTAATTTCAGAAGGTATCTTAGAGATGAGACCTGATTCCAAACACAAATCCATTCATATTTCCTGTGCACCACATACACAGAACATAACGACAGTTTAATAGAATAGTTTTAGTGTTGCTTTGTTTTTACCAATTTCATCATGTGAGATCAGGTGTTGAATTAGTATTTGTGACCTTGTGTTGGGGCTGAAGTTTTAGAACTTGAAGAAGTTCAGGTGTTAATTTTTGGGCTGGAGAGGCTTGACTTGGTTCATTGACAAATATGAGGTACAATATGTGTTATCGTCATCGTCATCACTCTCACTGTTTAAGCTGTGTGTCCTGTGTGCTGAGCTGTATACACAACACTTAGGTGAATTGCTACAAGTTATACTCAGAACAACTCTGTCAGGTAGGTGCCCAGTTTTTAGCTATGGAAATAAACTAATAACTTATCCAAGGCCAAGGAGTTAGTTGTTGTAAGAGCTATATTTGCAGCCAGACTGGTTTACTTCCTAACCTTTGTCCCATTTTACCTGCTGCATCCTATGTGATAGCCAGCCTCTAACCGAGTGTGGCCTCTGAGCATTTGAAATGTCATTGTGGTCTGCATTGTACTTAAGTGCAAAGTAGGATCTAAAGAGGATTAAAACATTTTCACTACAAGGGCTGGAAGATGGCCTATTGTTTAAGAGGACATGCTGTTCTCCACACCCATTTCAGGTGGGCCTTCCTCAGATGTTGTGAGAGGATGATTACAGGGGAGGAGACCGCAGAAGGAGAAAGGCGGATTGCATTCTTCCATTCTCCACCAAGCTTTTCTTTCCTGGGAAGGATGACTCTTCCCCTGTGTCCTTTACCTGCCTCTTATTTTGCCCCACAATCCCCTCTGGCATCCTCCACCTTCTCTGGCGTCCTGTCCTCCCACAGAGACATCACAACAGCCCAGCCAGCACTGGTCCACTTCAGAGATCTGAGGGAGCCGCCGGGCGGCACCCTCCTGTGGCTCCGCTGCTGCTACTCTTCCTTTGTCACCCCCCACCCCCAGCCCAGTGGCCTGGGCTTTGTGTCACACCCCAACAATGGCAGAGGGTTGAAATGAGCTTCTCCATTCTGTGTCCTGCTGGGGAGTTTTATTGGGTTTTATTATTATTATTATTATTATTTAAACATCATTGTCCTCTTCCTGCTCCAGAGTAGAGAGTCTGAAATCATAAAGCTTAGGATTCTCTGTAATTTGTCCCTTGTCTGATCCTGAGTGTTTTCTTGGGATAAGTATATAGGAATCAACTAACTAGCTTCTCCCACCCCAGTTTAATTAAAATTGGGATTTTCAAACCATGGGGATCAATAAAGCCTTCTATTTTAACAGGCTTGTAGCATCTCAAAGCCTTGCTAATGAAGATTCACACTGCAAATTCTCTGATTCATTTTGATGCCTGTCTGTAGCCCATCTCCCAGTTTTCTACTCCTTGTTTTTTCCAACTATGCAGACCAAGTGAACAGTTTAAAGCTGGTCTTCAGAGCTACCCAGCCAGTCTGGAACCAATCACTCACCGGCCAATATATTTTAGAACAAACTGTAAATGAAGACACAGCGTAACATCAATAAGCATGATATTAAAATGCCTGGGGTGTCCATAGTTCATAGAAAGGGTGAATTTGCAGCCTTTCAAAGCAGCACACGGGAAAGAACTTAAAAGTATGGTGTATTTCCGAGGACAGCTGGTCCTATGATGACTCACGGCACCAAGCTCTCCCTCACTGCTCCCCTTGTTAAATACAGCACTGCAAGTTTGGATTTTGTGTTCCCAAAGAAATGGAGGCCCCTGTGACTGATGGATCGTGGGGAAGTTGGAGTCACTTTGGAACCTGCTCAAGAACATGTGGAGGAGGCATCAAAACAGCCATCAGAGAGTGCAACAGACCAGAGTAAGTTCCAAAATGTATTGCTGTCATCGCCTGTGCAGCGGAAGGGAAAACGTTCAAAAAGGGAAAAGGAATTTTTAGCTGGCAGAGTTCAAGGACTGTTCGACCCGTGGGACCCCAGCGCTGTATCTCGGGCACTTCACCTCCACAGTATTATTTTTCTTCCCAGATCTGTTGCTGTTCATTGTTTGTCTGCCAAATAATTGATGCTTTTATATTGATTGATCTTAACAATCAGGTGTATTTCATTGCACCCTAGAACTTGCGATAGCACACTCATAGAGCAGGCAGATGGATCTGCAAGGAAAATAAGAAGAAATGGTCATTTTTATCCAATGTGTAGGTTGATGTACCGTTTCTACCTGAGAAAGGCTCCCAGTCTTCCCAAAGCTGCATTAGCAGACTGGAGAGCCTGGCATCTCAGGGAGGTAACTCATTTTCAAGTCAATCTAGGTATTTCACAGGTAGAGATAGACTGCTGTGGTTCCCCTTCCGCCTTCCATATGCTGGTAGTCTGCAGACTGGGGGTTTCCCACCATCCTAACCATGCTAGAACCTGGGAGCTCGGATAAGCCCACAGGAATTGGGGGTTTCCTGCATTTATCATGGTGGACTTCTGCCCCTTTTTATTTCAAGGAAAGATGTCCAATTCAATGTGGACACAACATGTATAGTTACAGCCTTTGACATTATAACATGGCATTATCATCTATAAAGCTCACACTGAGGACTGTGCAATTGAGTTACAAAACAAATTCTCATAATGTTTCAAGAAAATTTGCAGTTTTGTGCTGGGCTACATTTGTAGTTATTTTCAGTTGCATGTCAGATACGCCTGGAAGAAGTAGAAAATGCATAAGGAGTAAGTGGAACCAATAACTTGTACAACACTTTCCAAGACTTTGCCATTGTGCCTATATAGGCTGGGGAGCTGAAGGCTTCAAGAAGTGGAGATAACTTTTAGATACATAAAACACGGCCTCCTCCTCTTCCTCCTCATCCTCCTCTTTTTCTTCTTCCTTCTCTCCATCTCCCCCTCCTTTTGTTGTTGTTGTTGTTGTTGTTGTGTTGCCCAAGCTGGTCTTGGACTCCTAGGCTTAAGCAGTCTTAGTCTCCTAAATAGCAAGGACTAGAGGTGTATACCATTGTACCAAAACAGCTCCCACCAACTATTTTTAAAACCCCAGCAGCTTTGGAATTTCATTCACTGATTTTGTGAAGCATTCCTCATATGTTTTTAACAGTGTAGATTAGGATAGGAACTCTTTTGTGGAGGGAGCCTGCAGGTAAAGGAAAGGACATGAGCAATTGTAGTACAAACATTCACTGTTACATCAGAGTGCCATAGTGCCGCAGGTGCTGCTCAGATTGAGCTGATTCCTCACAAGTAGCAAAGAGTATGATGGTGGCAGCACCTTTTCTCTGTAAGAAAAATCTAGATTGTGGGAGGCAAAAAGAACATAGCCATGGGCCACTCATGTACAAACCCTAGCCTGCACAAAGGCTCTGCTGTACAAATCACAAATGGTAACCAATTTAATTTATTCTGGCTCACAATTCAACTTGATATCACAATCACTTAATCGTGATCTCTGAGGAAGACAACCGAAGAGCCTAAGGCACAGACTCTGCTCCATAAGCTAAACTACAGCTGTGGGTAAAAATGAGTAGGCATTCAGTTTTCTATGTAGCCCTCATTTTATATTAGTTATCTTTATGTAGTATAGAAAACAATGCATTTCTTAGGACATTTTCATACATAAATTATTGTACTTTGGTCATATGCCCACATTTGTTTTCAGAAAAATCCAAATGCCAAAGTCTATTATATTACTGTTTTTGACATCACTATTGACACTCTCACCTCAAATACTCCCTGCAAGATAACACCCTTGACAAATAATTTTATGTATATCACTTCAGACTTTAGAAAAGATTGTGGATATAAGGCTTACATTGCTTTTTTAAAAAAAATTTATTATTTTGTGTGTATGAATATATTGCCTGCATGTATATAAGTGCACCTGTATCATGCTATGCCCACCGAGGTCAGAAGAGAACATCAGATTCCTCTGGAGCTGGAGTTACTGAAGGTTGTTAACCACTATGTGGGTGCTGGGAATAGAACCTGGGACCCTCTGCAAGAACAGCCAGTGCTCTTTAACCACTGAGCCATCTTTCCAGCACCTGCATTGCTTTCTTTCAAGAGGCAAGGTCTCAACTGTAGTCCTAGCTGACCTGAACACTCTTTGTAGACCTAGCTGGCCTTGAAGTCATAGATATCCACCTGCCTCAGCCTCCCAAGGGACAGAATTAAAGGCATGTGCCGCCACACTTAGCCTTATACTGCTTTATAAACTCACACTTAGCCTTATATTGCTTTATAAACTCAACTGTATATTCTAGCTGTTTATATTATTGTTTAAATCAAGTCATTTAATCCATGAGCAAATACACTTTTTTAATAAATCCAAATCCACTATCTATGTTCAAAATTACTTTGGAATAATGTCTTCTTTTAAATTGTAGATACTTCATAAGCACTTTTAAAAGGTTGACTCAATATCCCATTTGAAAGATGTGTTTGGCTCTCTTTGGCTTAAGTTTTCTTTCTGTAAGTCTTAAAGCAATTCCAGAAACAACATGGAAAGTGAAGAGACACAAACCACCATGTAGCTGGAATGAGCTAGACAAAGAAAACACTCAGTGTAGCACTCTCAGCAGAAAGGATCCTGAGCTTCAAGCAGAGTGGACACCCTAGCATTCAAAAGTTAAGAAGCTCTCACTAAAGTCTGCAGTTTGATTTCCTTGTCCTTGCTGTTTGCTGTGAGGGTATGAGGAAAATGCCATCCACCCAGTGGAGTGTCAGCACTGGTGTCATTCAACTAAAGTCCAGTCACTGCACTTTAGGATGGACCGGCTAATTGAGGGAGAACTCTGCCTCTGAACACTGAGATGACAGTAGCTGGAGAGGGGCATCAGTTTGAAAAAGGGGAGGGACATGTAACAGGGAAAACCAGGTCTAAGTCTCAGTAAAAACTTGCTCAGAGAAATCTGCCATGCAGATGACTCTTGATGGGGGACTTGGAATGGCTGCTGTCATGTTTAGGAGGAACAGTCACGGGGACGTCCCCTTGGTCCTTTCCATGAACTCTGAGAATAGAATGCCAAGTTCCATGTTTAGGGTAGAAGATATGCTTCTTTCAGACACTGGATTCCCCCGCCCCACACACACACAATATTGATGTCTTTTAGAAACGTACTTAGTTACATCTACACATTTTCTTTTATATTTTCAATTTTTTCACCTGAAAGAAAAATAATAATAAATTTTTTACAATTAAAAAAATTAAGAGAGAAAAAGAGAGCGAAGGAGGCTTGCTGTGTGCGCGGGATCACACATGAGGGGGCTGTTGACACATTTTGTCCCCTCAGTTATTCAGTCTGAAGTGTGTAATGCTACAAATAGGGCCCTTGGATTTTAACTTTAAACACTTTATTTTCATCCTCAGTTTTAATTCACGCTTTATAGATAAGATGCTCATATGCCTTGGTTTGCAGGGGGAGTCCAAGTTTATGTCTGTTCCCTAGAGAAGGTATGAGTAGCCCCCATTTTCACACTTAAAGTGTCCTGGGTTAGACAGTTCACCACATAGCCTCCTGACCTATGAGAAACATATGGGAGTAAAGTTTAGATGCAGTCCTTAGTGGAATAAGAAGTGGCATCACTGGGTCTTTAAGCCCTGTCATTTTACATTGGCTCTGACTTCCTAACCACAGGAACAAAAATATGACTAGAATTAGTATATACCCCATCAAAATAAGAAAAACAAAAAACACTAGTTCTTTAAGAAAGGCAGATATTTTCTGGTTCTAACTGCTTCTATTTTGCTTTTGAATTAGGAGCTAGATTAAACCAAATAAAAATGAATTCATCTATTTGAGAAAAGAAGATTGTGAACTGGATATTTTCCCACTCAGGCTTTTACCATAGCAACTGCTTACAAAATCTTCCTTTAAAAAAATCAGGACACATTTATTTCAATCTTTTAGTACCAAATGTTACTTTTATCAGTAAAGATGCAACATATTTTTAAATTTTTTTACATGTATTTATTTATGTGTATGTATACACATGCATGTATGTGTGTGCTATGGCACACATGTGGAGGTCAAAGGATGACATGTGGGAGTTGACTCTTTCTCTACACAGGGAGCAAATTCAAATCTTCAGATGATAGCAAGCACCTTTACCCACTAAGCCATCTCATTGCCCACCCCTCCTCTTAAATGTTTCTGATTAGATGAGCCATTTTCAAAATGTTATGAATAAATAACTGTGGAAGAGCGATTAACTAATAAAGAAGTCAAGATGTCCAGTACCCTGGAATGTCTCACATGGAAGGGTCATTGAAAGTGGATTGATAAACCCTCCCTTCATCTATCCCTTGAATATCTTTTCAGCATTCTCTGTAGTTGGAATCAGACTTTTCTCAAAACATAGGGACCACTCTACCTCCATTATTCCAGGAGGTAATATTTTGGGCTAACACAAATCTAACTGTACTAATTTCTGTAAATAAAGAAGTTGATATTTCTGTTCTAGTTCATTTGTAGACAAAAATTTAACTTTTCTTTGTTTTTGTTTTTGTTTTTATTTTGAACTCACAGAGATCCACCTGCCTCTGCCTCCTGAGTACTGGGATCAAAGGCATGCACCACCACACCCAGCAGTACACCTGTAATAGTGTTTGCAAAAATTCCTCTGTAGCCTTGGGGATGCAGTATCTCAAGTTTCCACTGTGCTAAGAGATGTGGTTGTATAATACACACTTGAAGGAATGATCCAAGTTGGCTATACCTAACAGCTATCAATCTCCCAACTTCTTTAGGTCCTTTCCATCCCTATTTGGCACAAAGTATCTTCAAAAGATCTTACCAGTTGGGATATGTGGCTGATTTTATATTCAAAGCTGAATTTCATATAGTTTCAGTATTTGCTTACAAGGGAAAAATACTCATATCCAGCTAAATTTTTTATTATGAGATTTTTTTTTCCACTCTGAAAGATTCTTGGCTATAGATTGCCATATTACATAGTACACATAAATCAGGCTGAAACCACATTGTCTAGGAGAGAAGAAACACAGTATAGTTCAAAAGGGCACATTTACATTCATTAAAGTCATATGCATAGTTACAGAAGAAATTATAATCTGCCTTTACTCAAAAAGCAAATGAAGTCACAGATTGCATTTGATATACAGAGAGGCCTGTCCAGGGAGAAACAGCCTGGAACAGAGGCCAGACCCTGAGCTTTGGTGAAGGGGAATGGGATGGGCCCCTTTGCCAGTACTTCCCAGTTTCCAGGTTCATTAGTGTTTTTGATCCCAGTTCTCTTGTCTATAAGACAAGCACACTCCACCCACCTCTTTCCATGGCTGTGCAAAAAGACAAGAACTGGAGCATAGCTCAGAGATACCAAAAAGCTTTGGAACTAACCACCTCTTCCCCTAAAGACTCAGGAAAGTAAGTATTTTAGGCTTTATAGATCATATGATCACTGCACAACTATTCAACCTTGCTCATCTAGGGAGCAACACACATGGGCACTGTGGGTGTAGCTATGTTCGAATAAAACTTTATTTATATACATTGACTTTCATATAGTTCTCATGAGCCAGGTGATAGTTTCATTTTTAATTCTTTTCATATCTTTTAAAAGGTGAACAACATTCTTAGCTTGTGATCAAAACAAAATCAGCCATTTGATTAGATCAGGCTCTGGGCTTATATTTTAGTGAAGTATGTAATAACTAAACATTTATTAAGCACTTGGTATATGCCATTGCTTCTTTAAGTACTTTGTACTAACCAGGTAAACCTTCACCCCAGCACTATGGAGTAGATATCAGCCCCTCTGACACATGAGGAAACAGGCCTAGCAAGATGAAGCGTCTCACCTGAGATTGTACCACTGTTAGCAGAGCTTTCCCATCTTATCAGGGTTTAGCAACCAAAGGAGAAAACCATTTCAGGGAAGAGAGGCCACCTACACATAATAGCTAATTATAGTCCATTGCATTAGATAAATTTCAAGTCAGCTATGATTTGCTTTACAGAAAACCAAAACAAAAAATTAACACACAAATTTTCATTTTCAAATGGCAGGAACTGTGAGGTATTTTTTGAACAACAAATAAATGTTTCATCTATATAGTCAAGTTGGCCATTTAAAGAGATTCCAAAAAGATAATTTCTACCTGAGAAAAAGTTGAAGGGCTGTTCCTTGCGGTACACTGGAATCGAGCTTCACCTGAGCAATCATTCAGTTCTTTATGTGTCATCTATGATTGCTTTATGCATGAGATTTGGATGTGTTGCTAATAAGAAAAGACATTGGTATTCAGGAAACCAAAGCTATGTTTCTAAATAGGCTTTAAAAGCAAAAGGAGGCTCTGGGCTATACTGCCCGGATAACAGCAGGAGGAGCCCAGAGCGAGACCAGGGCAACTTGGGCTTTAGCATACAGTCTACTAGCTGTGTGACCTTCAGCAAACAACATAACATCCCCTGAACCTCCTAAGACATAATACAAATTACTTCATCTGCTCAATCTAGGGCAAGAAATGAAAGAGTTCTGGCAGGTCAAGTACACGATACAGCTACAAAGCATGTGGGTTTAGTTATGTTTAAGGAAGGAAATGCTAGGACACAGGCACTACTGTGTTCTGTGCCATTTTCTATTCCTAGGTGCCATCTTTGTGATAAATGATGGCAGGTGCTTGTCAGACTGTGATAAGTCCTCTGATCCACAGCAAGCCCTGCACATGCAGAGTCATGGCTACATTCCCTATGGATGGTGGAGCTTAGCAAAGCCAGACAACTTACACAGCTACACAGCTCGCCCAGCTACAGAGCTCATATGCGGCCCTTGCTCAGCACAGCTCTGGCTGAAGAGCACAATTATAACAGTGTGTCAGAACAAGCCTCCCTTGTGACCCTTCCTGAGACCCAGGGGTCCTGAAGGAGTGTTCAGTGTTGCCTTGCCCTGTCCAGAGTTGGTGCTCAAACTAGTGGAAAGTTGAATGCATAAGAATGCATAAGACCAGGGCTGGAGAGATGGCTCAGCTGTTAAGAGCACTGACTGCTCTTGCCGAGAACCCAAGTTCAATTCCCAGAGCTCACATGGTGGCTATGAACCATCCTTAACCCCAGTTCCAGGGGAATCTGAAGCCTTCTTCTGACCTCCGCGGCACTGCATGACACGGGTGCACTCACATACATCAGGCAATATACTCATACACATAAAATAAAAGAAATAAATAAAATATTAAAAAAGAATGCATAAGACCAGATCAGATAAGACTGTATAAAACTGACACATTTCGGCAGCTAATATTGTAGCTATACTGTATGTACTCATTTTGTTTTATTTATTTTTTTGAGACAAGGTCTTACTCTATTACCCTGGTTGGTTTGGAATGCACTATGTAGACCTGGCCTACTCGGAGCTCTCTATATAGACCAGGCTGGCCTGGAATTCACAGAAATCCACCTGCCTTGGCCTCCTGAGTGCTAGGATTAAAGGTGTGTGCCACCACACTCAGCTGTACGCACTCATTTTAGAGAAGAGGGAAGATGAAGCTCTGGGTAGAATGAGGAGAGGGAAAGACTAGGACACAGATCCAACTACAGCACCCTTACAGCCTCTCCACCCTTATTTTATGGTCACAGTAGATATAGCTTCCATTCTTTAAAAGCTCTATTTGAAAAGCACAATCCATTTTTTTATAGTTAGGATTTCTCTGAAAAATTCATTGAAACAAATTTTTTTTCCCTGGAGCTACAGGGTGTCCTGGGATAGTTGTGCATTCGGAGCCCTAGTGACTGAGCTCTGAAGTCCTGGAATTCTGAGGTATTCTCCATTTCCGTGATAAATTTGGCCAGCTGCTGACAGCTAGGGGATGTGTTGTGTAATTTACACTCTAGGTCACATCTGGAAAAGACATACACAAGGTTGCATGCTGAGAATAAGTTTGCACTGTAGTGCTTTACAAGCACACTGCCTACTCCGGGCGGGCTGTGCAGACGTAATGAAACCAGTGCGCTCTCTCCTGCTTCTTCTATTAATTGAGTCAGTGGACATATGTCCTTTATTCCATTGTTATTTGTAAAATAAACCAAACCAAGAGAATAGTTGTCAGAAAAGAGGGTGAAGAGGGGCAGAAGGAGAGGAAGTGAAAGTGTGCTCTGTGGTGTTCTGTGAGTGGGTCCAAGAGGAGAGGACAGACAGGAGACCATCCACGGACAGCAGTGCCTTTCCCCACAGTATCTTTAATGTTGAAGGACTGCAATCATTTGAGGAAAAGAGGACAAAAAATATTCTCATAGTCTAGGCTTTGTGTCTTAGACTTTGTACTATGTTCTCAAAACAGATGTACTGAACCTGGGCATGGTGAGACATGCCTGGAATCCCATCACTCTGGAGATAGAGGCAGGAGTATTGGGCCATCCTAAGCTACACAGGGAGTTTTAGGTCACCCTGGCATACATGAGACCCTATCACAAAGAACCAACAAACAACCTCCCCTAAAAACAGATATGAAATAGCCACATCACATTTTAAAGATGCAGCTGCTGAGGCATGTAAAGATGGACTAGCTTACTGAAGTACACATTATCAAAGGCAGAAAACTACCTAAACTGGAGTAGTTAATGGAAGGTAGAACATAAAACCAGATTCAGGAGTCCCATCCTTCCACTATCATTTCTGAACTCAAACTTGCTTCCTTAAGAAACAGGAATCGTGAACGAAGGAGTGATGGATAGAAAAATGAGTTACAATGCTTCGTGCATTCTTTCCATTTTCTCAGACCAAAAAATGGTGGAAAGTACTGCATAGGGCGGAGAATGAAGTTCAAGTCCTGCAACACCGAGCCCTGTCTTAAGCAGAAGCGAGACTTCCGAGAAGAGCAGTGTGCTCACTTTGATGGCAAGCATTTTAACATCAATGGTCTGCTGCCCAACGTGCGCTGGGTCCCTAAGTACAGTGGAAGTAAGTGATTGGGGTGAGAGAGAGTGTGTGACTGGCAGGCAAGCCCTCAAGCCAGGCACAGAAGTCACACAGTGTCATGATTCTCCTCTTTAGTTTTGATGAAGGACCGATGCAAGTTGTTCTGCAGAGTGGCAGGGAACACAGCCTACTACCAGCTCCGAGACAGAGTGATCGATGGGACACCTTGTGGCCAGGACACAAATGATATCTGTGTCCAAGGCCTTTGCCGGGTAAGTCCCAAGTGGCATTTTCTTCACTGAACTTTCCTGTGGCCAAACTGTGGTTTGTGGCTCCCTTGTTAGAATGACAGCTACTTCTACTCATGCACTGGCTCAGGCAGTGTTTCTCAAAGTGTGTTCCCCGGATGCCACTCACATCTGCATCACATGTTTCTGATGCACATTCTGCCAAGGTTTAAGAACCACTATCCTATATTTTTCTTGACATTTTCAGTCCTATACAAAATTCCCTCTTGAATATTTATTATACCAATTTATACATACAATCCTTTGCTATAAATTCCAGTGCTTCCTAAAAGCAAGCTTTCTGGATAGAATGGCCGCATTCCAGAGCAATGTAGGTAGGAAGAGCTATCCTCCCTCAGGAATCTCTTTGTCATTTTAACCACAGTTGCTTCACCCCAAGTCATTCATTAGTCTTGGAAGGTAAACTGAGAGACCCCTGACAGAGTACAAGGCATCTCAAAGGCATGGTGCTATTGTGCATTGTTCACTGGTAAGAAATCATTGCCAATTCACTCAGGCTCTGAGCTGGTGAATGTATTCATCCTATGTGGCCCAAAAGCCAACTGGAGTTCCTAGAGGATTGGATTTGACTGAAAGAACACCCAAGAGTTTCACCTGCCTGCCAGCTACTCCCACAGGATAGATTCCCTTACTATTCTTCTCCGTTGAGGCACATTGAGCTCCTCAGAGATGAATGTGCACTAAGAAACAAGAGATGGGAATGTGGATTCTCTTCTCCTGGGGTGTCGGTTGTCACCACTGTCCTCCTAAGAGCTCAGTGCACACTTGCTTCAATAGGTAAGGAAGCTACATAGTCATATTTGTCAGGCATGCAGAGCCAACAGTTTCAGCCTTGGGGACTGCACAGCAAATCATGTTCCCTAACTTTTCCCAAATAATTGGAAAATGTGAACACTGGGCTTCTGGGTCTGAATGGCAGCCGTAGCCTGGAATATGAGCGACTTGTCACTGCCGATGTACATGCACTCTCCAATGTGATGCAGTCATCACCACTCCCCCTCTCTTTGCTCTTCCTTGTTACGTAGATTTTCTCCTTTACTCTGCTTATTCATACGCCATTATGTCTCAGATTTTAATCTGTGTGTGAGGCACCCAGGGAACTGGTTTAAAATACCAACCCCTGTGGAACAGATCCTCAAATGACCTCAAGAGTAAAAACAAATCAGTTTATCTGGTCCAGTGGTATGTCCTTAAACACCCAAAAGGGAAGTATAACCAAAGATTAAAGGGGCCAATACAATTTCATAAGAGCATACATATATATAACTAAAAGTTACTTGACAAACAGCAAAGCCAGACAGGCGCCACCTTCAGTCGAGATGTTGGCCAGGACAGATAAAGGCTCTTCCAGACAGTAACCCAACATACTACTGGAACAATGAACAGCAGACCCCAACTCTATCCAAAGGAATACTGACAATGGATTGCTGTAGATGAGGAACAGCTGATCCTCCTGGAACAGGGACCTCTGGCTGACTAGATTTACCAGAAGGGCAGATGGGGGGAATGGATGGGGGTGCTGACAGCACAGTGGACAGTGGCAGGGATAGCAGAGTATGGAGGCTCTAGTGGGAGAGGAAGGCTGTCTACCTGACGAGTTTGTATTCATGCTCAGATGCCGAGGAGCTCAGAAGGTGGACGACTGTGACCAGTGATAGTCATGTATATAGAGATTAGAAATGCATGTGAAAACGTCTCAATGTCAATAGGCTTGGAATGAATTTTTCTGTATGAAACTGTGTGCTTTGACAACAAAGTGGAGATCTTTTTTAAACATTGGAACCTCATTTAATTTTATGTCTTATAGAGTTTATAATGAGTAAAAGATTATATAAGCGTAATAATTCATCTGTAAACCTAGAAATGTACAGCCAATTTTGAAAGAGATGTACCCTAGCTCAGAAAAATGTTAATGAATAGGTTAATGCTATTGTAATGAAATGCTTCTTTTAATTAAAAAAAAAAGATATAACTAAAAAAAATGTTTATTACTAAAACATTGAAAATAAATAAATAAATAAAATAAAATACCAACTCTGATTCCATGGAAATGGGTGGATCTAGAGGCTCAGTATTCCTAATGGCATCAAGGATGCTCTATGACTGAAGAGCCAAGGGGACCACATTTTAAACAGCAAGCTGTAGACAATTTAAATTCTCAACCTTTGTGGCTTTTGAGGGGCATCACTTTCTTGTCAATTTCCGATGCGCATGGCTGAGAGACACATATCACTTGCCATTTTATTATCTCCTTATTACTTACCATTTATTTCAAATGTTTTCTTTTAAAAGCAAGCTGGATGTGATCACATTTTAAACTCAAAAGCCCGGAGAGATAAATGTGGGATTTGTGGTGGCGATAATTCTTCATGCAAAACAGTGGCAGGAACATTTAACACAGTTCATTATGGTAAGAATCTGCTCCTAAGAACCAGGGAAACAAAAGGTTTAAAAATAAATTGTAAACTACAGGTAATACATAGAAGTATTAGTGTCAAGTGTAAAATCAGTCTTGTTATGGTATATTAAGACATGTGACTACAAGGCATCTAATACTGGGAATTGTCTTTTTTGGTCGCCTGCCTTTCATTCTGTTCTTAGACAATGTGAACCATTCAGTGGAATACTGATTTTCTGCTAAATTTTTTTGCAGGGTACAATACTGTTGTCCGAATTCCAGCCGGTGCTACCAGTGTTGATGTGCGACAGCACAGTTTCTCAGGGAAGTCTGAGGATGATAACTATTTAGGTGAGAGCAATGTCCCCTGACATTTACACAAATTCTGGTTCTTTTTGGAACAACTGGTTCTTACTGCTTCTTTTTCTCTGCTGCATGTGGCAGTGTCTTTTTGTTAAAGAAGTTGATCTTAGAATTCATTATCTTAGCTCACCCTCCTGCATGCACCCTCAGAATATTGATTCAAGGGTTGTATAGTTGCACTATTCAATATCCAGGGATTTTCTCTGGATCTTACAAATACTCTCTAAGTTTAGCATAAAATCATGGCTCTTGTTGAGCCTTTAAAAAAAAATCTGTCATGGATAACTGACTTGCAAGTGTTTTATTAGAGGAATTATTCAGCTTAATTTTTATGTTATCAGCTCTACTCAGGACTAAACCCCCTGTGGGCTTACTCAGTTCTTTATTATGCTGGAGTATGTGTTCCCATTTCCTCATTCTAAAAGATTCTGTGATGGCATGTATTTTTTAAGGTCTTTACAAAAATGGTCTACTTTGTTGTTTACAGATTCTTCAACTTTTCCTCAGAATTAATTCATATGTCATCCTTACATTTAACCACACAATTATTTTTTTTATATTTTTCTTTGCATTTAAACACATGAGTAATTCATGTATATTCCTTGTATTTAAACTGCAATACACCAAAGACCTGTTTTGAGTTTTAGTAGTTTTCCATCCCAGACTGACTTCAATTTATTATTCTTTAAATTGCCTTAAGTGATTATGAAATTTGCCTACTGCCCTGTGAAAGAAGGACCTGGGGGACAGTGCAATGACTGAATGGGATCTGACTGGTCACCTTACACAACTAAACTCCTCCTGCCACAAAGCCTGCCCATAACTGGTACTTGGATCTAGAAGAAATCAAGGCCCTCTTGCTGAGCAGTCAATTTTCTTAAAGAAATGAATGTACTTTCCCTCTTAGAATGTCCAGGCAGGAACTCTATTTATCCAACTGAATGAAGCCTATAGAGGCTTAATCCAAGCGTTTGGACATGCTGAGCTGGTTAATGAATATTTGTTGAATCAAATCAGAACCTACATCTGTATTTTGAAATGTCTGCATGAACTCATGTGTTCGCAGACAGTGGTCATTTAGCCAAGCCTGCTAATCACAGTTTTATGCGTGGCTCTGCTGCAGCCGCTCTGCTGTGAGTCACCATTCCTTTCTGTGTGCACTTTCTAACGTGCACCAGCATTATTTCCAGCATAATAAACAAAACAAATTAAACATTACAAAACTGCTTATTCTCTTGGCGCTGCCTTTTTCATGGGTAAAGAAAGACAGTAAACAATAACTTCATAAACAAGCTCCATACTGGCAGAAAATGGTAAGTGGTATTAGAAATCAGAGGAGCATGAGAGACATTAGGATTCCAAGGACAGACGTGGGGACAATGGGACAATGGAGGTGAAATATTTGCAGTGTAGAGAACAGTCTATTAAGGAAGATCATTCTAGACAAGGGGAGTCTTTGTAAAGTCTTGGGGTGTGTGTGTACCTATGAGTGCACACAGAAAACAGTATGATGTCAGGTGTCCTGCTCTGTCACTCCTTTTCCTTTGTGACAGGGATTGTCATTGAAGCAGGAGCTAGGCTGATGGCCAGCAAGCCGCACTGATCCTCCTGTCATTGCCCACCACATCGCCTTGGGCTTACAAGTGTGTGCAGCCACACTCAGCTTTTTACTTGGATGCTAGAGGTTTGGACTGAGATCCTGTTGCTTGTGCAGCAAGCACTCTTACCCACTAAGTCATCTCCCTAGCCCCTCTATGCAAAATTTTTGAAGTAGGAGTGTGAAGACTGTGTGAAGGGCAGAGGGAGGCCTGTGCACTTGTTGCTGAACAAGTATGGAGAATCCCAGATGGGATTAAATGGTAATAGAAGGAGATCATGTAGACCCATATAGCTACTGTAAGGACATTGCAGGGAACTCTGAGAGGCATGGGAAGCTATTAATGGTTTTGAGACAATGATTGATATGATATAATTCTACTTACATTTTCAAAAGAACACTTTGGCTGTTATGTTGAGTGCCAGTGGTAGAGCAACAGCATTGTTTAGGAAGGTATATTAAGAATTTGAGAGAAGCCCAGTATGGTGGTCTGAATCCATAGCTCCAGCACTGGGGAGTTTGAGGCAGGATGATTGTGAATCTGAGGCCATCTTAAGCTCCATAGGGAAACTTTGTCTCAAAGATTAAAAAGGCAAAATAAGTAATCTAAGAGGATGGTGTTATAAAGAAGAATGCTAATTGCATGGCCTCACGGGGAAGTGTGGAGGTGGTGGCACATGGTCAGGGTCTGTGTATCTTTTGAATGTGGAGCTATCTTGATTTGTTCATGGATCAAACATGGTATGTGAAAGAAAAGAGGGGTCGGGGCTGAGATGTAGTTTAGTTGGTAGAGAGCTTGTTAACAAGTACATAGCCCAGGGTTCAGCCCTTAGTACCATGTGAAAGGAACATGGCAGCTCCTACCTGTAATCCCAGTACCTAGGAGGTACTGGAAAGAGGATCAGAAATTCAAGGTCATTGCAGTTACCTGAGAGGGGGGAAAGGGGAAGAAAGAAAGGTCAAAGCTGTCTTGGAGTCAGAAGGAGTCAAAACTCTGGAGTTTTGGCCTGAGCAGCTGAAAGGAGGCAGCTGCCATCAGTGGAGGGGAGAAGACTTCTTACCTATTCATCCAGTCAATCCGAGTAGTTTAAGATCAAGGCTGTAGCTTTGTATCTCTGGTTCCTGATACGAAGCTTTCACTGATAAGCACTAAGTAACTATTTGCTGAATCCCAGGGCAACCACTGCTCACGCTTTCTTTACTGAGTACTGGCTATGCACTTCATGGGGAATGGAGTTCCCTTGGAGATGAAGACTCATCCCTTCTTTAAAAAGCCATAAAACCTTACTTGTGATTAATTACTAAATGGCTGCATCTGTTTTCTAACATCTTAAATATTAAATTGAGTGGCAGCTTTATAAGAAAATTAACAGGACTAGAGTTGTAGCTCAATTATAAAACATGTGTTTAGCATTTACAGGGTCCTGGGTTCAATACACACACACACACATACACACACACACACACACACACACACACACACACACACACACACACACACACACACACCAGTTGAAAACAGACAGTAGACAAACAACACTATCACACACACACACGCACACACACACACCAGTTGAAATAAGACAGTTGACAGAAACCACTTTCAAATGACTTTTGGGACTCCCACGCTTCTCATTCTACCACTGCTCAAAATAGATCAGGCATTTTCCTCCATCTACTTAGTTATAAATTTGAGCATGTGGTTGTAGTTTCTGAGTACTTCCTAATTAGATCAAGCAGCACTGCATGAAGTGTCCTTTATAAATTTCTTGAGAGCTGAAAGCCATGTTAGTTGTTGTATTCTTTTGTTCAAAAGGAAAGGCATGCTCTTCTGTTTTACTTGGAAAAATAACCTCTATCCAAGTAGTCACTTGAGTTCTGTTCAGCTTAATCAGTGCATGTCAGGTGTCTAAATCCAAGCAGAGTCCCCCAATAATCTTTTTTTCTTCACTGGATGCTTTTTTAATCTTCTTGTCAAAGAATGAAAGCAAAATTAAAGAAGATTTGTCATCAGGGACAAGCAGTCTGAGCCACTAGTGTCTTTTTAATGGAGTACTATGGGGAAGTTGCTGATTTGCCCAAGAAAGTCTCTCTGAAAGGAGATGAGGAGTATGTAAGCACCGATTGCAAGTCACAGCCCACTGAGTGGGAAAGCCAGGCCTCAGAGCCTTTGAACCTCACAGTGGTTCTTTAAGAGGATCTGAAGAATTTGATGTTACCCAGTTCAGGGTGTGCATGTTTACTCTTGGCTTGAAGCAAGGAGCTGTTAGCAGAGCACTTTAGAGACTTTACAGCCCACCCTGAGTTTTGCTGAGTCTAGTCATTGCTGTTCTGTTGCTAAGCAACCTTCATCCTTATCCCTGATGGTTGTGTAAAGGTTAGTGAAGCCATACTCTTCCCGTGTGTTTTGACAAGGGAGCTGTTTCCAGTAGAGAAGGCCTTTGTAACAACCCAGTTCTGATGGGTGCGATGGGAGGGAAAGCAGCCTAGGAAATTAGCTCCGCTAATCGCATTAGCAGGAGGTCGGACAGGAGGCTAGAGTTTTCAGGAAACTATTTGTTTCACAAGGTACCAAAGCAGAATGTCTGCCTGTCAAAGGTCACCCTTCCGCAGAGACCCCTCCTTGTTGGGTTAAAGCCAAATTGTACTACCATTGCCATGTTCCTATCTCTTGAGGAGAAAATGTAGCCATTTCTGTGAGACGTGCTTGTCTCTAGGATACCTAGCCCTTGATTAATCCTGGCAGTGGGAAGTCGCAAATCAATGCAGTGTGAGAGAAAGCCAGAATTTCCTTTCATCTACGATTTTACAGAAATCTGAGGGCAAACCATTTACCAGAGCTAATCTAATCGTAATCTTACGTCATTTGAGCTCCTGTCCCATTGTGCACTCACCAGAAAGTGGGATGAGGAGCATGCAGAGAAGAGGGAAATATCCCCAAGTCTGCAGAAGATGACAGGCTGCCTGGAACTACAGGAAAAGAACCTTTCCTGGAATTCACTCAGAAGAAACCATTATTCTCTGTGGACACAGTTTACTCCTGTAACAGTGCAGTCTCCCCTCTTCAGTGGGGCATCATCTGGGTAGCTAGCATGTGACTTAACTTGACAGAGCTGGGTGATGTTGTTGACAGTACATCTTGCTATCACCATGTAAGCGAACAGCGTCAGGAGACCTGAGGTGCCCAGGAAACAACCTCATTTCCTATCAGTGACCCACTGGCAGTCCTGAATTTCACATTGCTGGTGGGCCTCTGGCTCTTGGAGTTACAGGCAAGGCATGATTATGTGGGGTTTCCACTGACTGGGAAACACTCATCTGAGGGGAAACACTCTATTCTCCTTGTCAGAGATGTCAACTTCAATCACTTGTTCATTCTTTTAACATCATCCTTCATCAGTCTAGTAAGGGTTGGGATCTTGGTTTTTAGAGGTGAATTATGAAGTGGTTTTAACCTTATTAAAAGGTTTGTGCAGCTTAGCAAAACAAGCTAAGTTGCTAAAGATCTGTAGCCTAAGCATATTTGGTTTCTATTTGTAAACAAAAGAAAGAATAAGTTTGTTCATTTGACAAACATTTGAGGCTCTTCTTGGAAAATTTTAGTGACTAACAAGCTCTGGAGACAAATTTCCATAATTAGAAGCAAGCTGGACTTGGTAAATTAATTTAGTGATTTGTAAATCATGCTTTTCTCATAAGTTCAGCTTGTATAACAGACCAGCCTCATTAGAAGTGTGACCAGGACTGTGTAGCAGGCATTATGACCAGCAAATTCTGCCAATGCAGAATGTTGAACGCATGGAAATGGGATCAGATACAGAAGACTGACTTAGAAAGCCAAATTTTTGTAAAAAGCACTTGAGGGAAAAGGTATTATTGGGATTTTATGATTTTTCACATTTTATTTATTTAATGAGTGGGGAGAATACATGTGTACAGAAGTCAAATAACAGCTTGGAGGAGCTGGTTCTATGCTTCCATGTGGGTCCCAGGGATCAAACTTAGGTTTTCAGGCTTGGCAGCAAGCATCTTTACCTGCTGAGCCATCTCCCCACCCCTCATTGGAATTTTTGTCTTAAAAAAATTAACCTAAGAGTATGAAAATATTTACTTTATGTTATATTCAACCAAATCATGTTTTAATTTTTATCGTACAAAGGCTTTTAGAATGGAAAGTAACAGTCACCATGCTATATATGGCTCTCCAGAGCTTACTCATCTTGTATAACTGAAACTTGGTATCTGTGTAGCTCTGAACAGCATGTCCCAACTACCCCTTCTTCTAGCCCCTGAGAATACCATTCTACTTCGGATGGTATAGGTTTTTTTATTTTAGGTTCCATAATTCATCTCACTCTATCAGATCCTCATTTCATATTTCAGCACTTGATTTGAGCAATTTTTCCAATATTACTTTTTCAGCTTTATCAATTTTTGAATCTTTTGCAAGATTTTAGAGTGGATATGTTCATTATTAAAAAATAATAATAAAAGTGTTTACTGAGTACCTGCCATGTGCTCTTTCTAAGCTGGGACCCAGGAGTGAAAAAACACACCATTCTGGACCTCATGGGGTTTATATTCTTATGTGTATATAAACAAAGTACCAGGGAGGAAATTAAGGTGGGAAAAATAGAGACATCTGCAGTTCTTAAAGGAACAAACCAGGAAGGTATATTAAGCATTTGCCAATACACATTCCCTCAAGATACAGCAGGATGTCTTAGAACAGCAAATATATACTCCCTCAGTTTCTTATATCTGTAATTTAGGAGCAACAGTGCTAGATATTTCTGACTTGAAGTCTCTGATGAAGTTGCTATTACTGTGTCAGCTCTGGTATCATCTGAAGGGCCAACTGGGACTGGAGCATCTACCTCCAGATAGTTCCTTAAGAAGCCACTGGTAGAAGGTCCCAGTTCCTCACTGATGTATTCAGGAGGCATCTCATTGGGCATCCTCCTAACTGGCAACTGACCTCTCCCAAAACTAGAGATTCAAGAAAGAGTATGGTGGAGCCACAGAACCTTTGATCTGATTTTGGAAATCAGCCTCCATCATTTCCTGAGTATTCTGGTGATTTCAGTCTGTAGTATGAAAGGGCTCAGGACATGAATGGAACATTGAAGCCCTGTTTCCTGCAGCCTACCTCAGTGGCCTCACTGAACACCATTTGATCACCATATTGACTTTATATTTTCAGAATTCAATGTTTGTTGATTAAAGAAGACTTAAGATTCAGTAGGCTCAACTAATTGTAATATATGTTACAATTATATAATATATATATCAACTCATAATACTTTTGCCATCATCTATAATCCTGTAACTGTGGGTATTGTATAATCAACGTCAGACTAACTAGGATTGCTATACTGTATTTCCCTTAGTTTGCACAGGCACCCTAATAGACAGGTGTTTTTATCTCCATTTTGGAAATATAGAAATGGAGATCAAGAGGGAAATTGTTTTTCCAAGGTCACACAGCTAGCATGTAGCATGCCATGACATATGAACAGTGTGAATTCATGGTCTGGCTCAGAAGCCCTCATTTTTCTGCCCCTCCCTCTGCCTGTCAAAGTGCTCCTTCATTTTTAGCACAACTAGTCACTGGCAGCACATCAACAAATTCTCTTTTCTCATCCACAGCTTTATCAAATAGTAGAGGTGAGTTCTTGCTGAATGGAGACTTTGTTGTCTCAATGTCCAAAAGAGAAATCCGTGTGGGGAGTGCTGTGATTGAGTACAGTGGATCTGACAATGTTGTGGAAAGACTTAACTCCACAGATCGCATCGAGGAAGAACTGGTACTTCAGGTAAACACTTGTCCAGCAGCCCTGTGGCCCATTTCTTCTTAGGATCACAGGTCTGAAAACTTCCCTCTATCTTGTTCTCTCGCTGTAGGTGTTGTCAGTAGGAAAGTTATACAACCCAGATGTTCGGTATTCATTCAATGTTCCCATCGAAGGCAAACATCAGCAGTTTTACTGGGACAGTCATGGGCCATGGCAACCATGCAGCAAGCTCTGCCAAGGTATCTGCTTAGAGTGCCAGCTTTGGTGGGGTTGAAGTCCTGACACATGCAGTCTGCAAACCTTTCTCTGCACCTACCCTCTCGTCTCCTTTACCTGAACCTTCCTGGCTATTTCAGTTGGCAAGTTGAACTTTTAGGATTTAGGTCCGGTTAGGTTTCTTCCTAAGAAGTCTGTATGCACGTGTAAAGTCATGGAAAATAACTCTGCCACTTTAAATTTCCAGAGACACGGTTTATTTGTCATAGTTTATATTAGTTTTCTTTCCTTTGTTAAACTAGGGTCAGCAAACTACAGCTAGAGGTCAAATTCAGCCCACTACCTTTGTTTTTTTTTTTTTTGAAAATTTTATTGAATTTTTGTGCATTTCGTACGCTACATCTTGGTCATATTTAGGCCCCTCCCCAATCTGTAGAGCCCCCTTTCCCCACACCCTGGCAGGTTTCATGCATTCTGACATATATGTTAAGTCCTACCAGTCAAGTTTGCCCACCACCTTCTTTTATCACTAAAGTTGTATTAGGATGCAACCATACAACTTGTGAACATATTGTGTATAAGCAGCTGATTTTGCCCTGTCATGTAGAGTTGAGAAGTGCACCAGAGATCCTATGGCCAACAAAACTGAAAATATTTGCTATCTGGCTTTTTACAGAAAAATTTTAGAAAGCCCTTGTTCTCAGGCATAGGTAGTTTCCTCAATTTCCTCAGTGTAATTTTGACCCTCTCTACTTAGGGGAGCGGAGACGAAAACCAGTTTGCACCAGGGAGTCTGATCAACTTATAGTTTCTGATCAAAGATGTGACCGGCTGCCCCAGCCAGGACCTGTCACTGAAGCGTGCAACACAGACTGTGATTTGAGGTGTGTGTAGCCTCTGTTTTCCTTGTGCCTTTCCTTCTGAGTCAAGTGGGCTTGTGGGAAGGTTCTTGGGAGGGGTAAGATAGAGAGGATTGTTGTTGATCCTTAGCTGCCCTTCCTGTATTTCCCTTATACATACTCTAGCCAGCCCTGGAACCAATTAGCCAAGATCTATACCTCCGGATTTCTTGTTCTCCTAAGAATTAAAAATACTTAACAGAGCATGGCACTTGTCAGAAAACATTCTTATTTGGTTCTCACAACTCATTTACTAGGTATTGGCCTTCAACTGAGTCATATCTTATGCAAGGGTCCACATGATGTTCTCTTTCCACCCAGAACACACACCACCCAGAAGAACTCTTATGCACAAAAGCTGCAGTCTGCACACACCATACACATACACAAATCACACACAAATGCAAACACACAAAGAGTGGGGTCAGGAGGGGAGGCTTGTTGTGCATTAAGGTAAGGCATGGGAGGAATAAGAAGAAAATCCAAATATGAATATCTAGGTGTCCACATAGTTTTGTGTTTAAGAAAAGATTCCAGGAAATATTGAGGGAGTGGACAACCCTCGCTTTCCCATTTGCCTGGGAGTTGACTGTGTCATATGTAAGTATTCAATAGCTGGAAGATTGCATTGTATGTAATCTGCATGTCAGGTCAGTGACTACTCTGTCCTTTTACAGAGGAGAGAATATGAGCCTAGAATGATACGGGAATGTGATAGGGTCCCCCGTTCATAAGCAGTACAGTACGTACTTCAGCATTTTGAAGGTTCCATATCACTAAGCCAAATTCTCAGTGTTGGCTACTTGTAGTGCTGGAGTGTGGAATAAGGCATTAGTGAGGCTCTGAGAGAAAAGAGTTCTGTGATCAATTGCGAGTGTCTGTCCTGGGAGTCAGAGTAGTGGTGACATGTGTGTCATATCTCTACTAGTCCTGATCCAAGGCTCTGACATCAAAGCCAGGATCTGCCCCCCCTGCCACTCTTTTTCTATATTACACTGGCTTTTTCAGTGACTTGCAGAAATGCGTGGGAAATATCATTGCTAAAACCACAAGCAGACATTAAAAAGTAGATATCTGTTTTAGGTTGTATCCATATAAGCCTATTTGCTTTAGCCAGTTGAGTTGAATTAGTCAAGTTAGAATTAAGGGGTCCTTTCAAGGAAAAAAAAATGAAACTGTTAAGCTGAATAATCACTAAATTCATGCATAGCTTCCTTGAGATACAATCTTAGTAAACTGAGAGAGATTATACTTTCAGATTGACCTTACATCCAGTCAGCACTACATCTCCCACCACTCTGCAGGTAATTGTAATAGACTCAATGATTTCTAAGGCCTTTTCTAACCCCTTTCTAAGGGGTTTTGTTTGATTATTTTGGGTTTTGTTCTTCTTGTGGTACTGGGGACTGAACTAGAGATTTGGACATGCTAGGCAAGTTCTGCCACTGAGCTAACCCCCGCCTTCTATCTACATTTTATTTTAAGATAGGGTCTCACTAAGCTAAGAACTCTTTTTAACAGCTATGCATAATATCTCCACATTAATAGAAAGTTTTGTATTATCCTATTGTTTCTGTATATTATCCCATTAAAAACAATTAATAGCCTATTAATTTTTCAGAGACCACTGTGGCATAGGTTTTATCATTTTTACATATAAGGAAAAGGAAGTCTGATAGCTGTTATGCAAATTGGCTAAGATCACACAGCTAGCTAGTGTAGTAGCAGAGATTAAATATAGCCCATCTACCAGTAGCACTTAAGGGATTCAACTCTATGAGGAAGTTGTTTTCATTCTTACTGTGCTATGTTGTTGAGTGCTACTCATCTGTCCCATTCTGTGGCTCTTTTCTTCCCATGTGAAAAGAATTCATCTCTATCAGTGTCTGTCCCATCATTGCATTGTTCCTCACTTGGACTCCTTATGTATTATTTCTCCACTGTCAAATTCAAACAGTGGCTAGCCAAATACTGAATGATGGATGCAGATACTGTGGGAATGTTGCCTGATGCTCTTATGATGGCAAAGAAGACAAGTTTGTACAAACTTGTGACCATAAAAATAAATAAATGATATTTTAATAACCCTATTCAAAATTTACCCAAGGAGTATCCATTTCTGAGTGGAGATAATATTTGAGCTGTTACTTCAAAAAACCAATATTCTTTTCACATTGAGCAATTTCAATATAAGCCACAATTCCATGTGTGATGGTGCTGGTTTACTGATGCCCTTGGAGTTTCTCCTGCAGTAGAAGCTATTAAACATAATATTCACACTAGTCTTCAAAGCTAATGCAGGACAAGGTAGGCTCAATTCAGAAGCATGTTATGTTGGATTGTGCAGAATACTGCAAGGGGGTTTTCTCACCTTGTTTAAAAGTGGGTTGAATCTCCACACAGTGGCACGTCTGTAATCCCAGCAGTAGGAAAGCAGAGCCAGAAAGACAGATTTTGAACCCAGCGTGGGCCTCACAGTGAGACCCTGTCTCACAAGACCAAAGGCTCAAGATGTAGCATGGGCAAGACCCTGGGTTCAGTCTTAAGTACTGCAAAAACTGAAGGAAGGGATTAGAAGGAAGGGAGACAGAAATAAAAGTTGGTGAGAGAATGAAACATCGAGGGTAGTAAGAGTATTAAGTAATAATAATGGCTACTTTTATTGAGTATCTATCTCATAGGTGTTAATTACACATACCTTGTCCCAGTTAATCCCCCAAATGGCCCTATGAAGTTGATGCTGTTTCCCCCATTTCACAGGAAGCTGCAGCTCGGTGAGGTGGAGTAGTTCACCTAGCTATCTCTCCATGAGTGTGAGAGCTAGCATTCGCAGCCAACTCTTCTTGGTTACATAGCATGTACACTGATTACCATCAGACTTGCTTCATAATATCTAAGGAACAAGGCCTAAGTTTTTCATTAAGAGTACTAGTAAATTCCCATTTGAAATCATCTTAAAATAATTTTTTTAACTCTACGGAGACAAAACGAGGGCAGCAGCTGTGACCATAGGGTTCAATGACAAAAACAGCTCTGATTAACTAAAAAAGGTGAAGATATTCCTTCCATGTCAAAATTAAAAAGTGAGAAGGAAAAAAGGAGCTTAGGATTAGTTTCAAAGTTGCAAAAGTAGACAAGTGTATGCCGGTACCTAAAATTCGGTAGAACATTGTGGCTTTTGGTCGGTGCTCAAACTCATCTCTTACTGGCTTTTCCTGACTGTTAGAAAAATGAAAGCTCTCCACTAAAAAATATGGAGACACAAACTAAATCTAAGGAAGAGCCACTGTCTTTTCTGCCTCCTGATAATATAATCACAATTCATGCTACTTGTGGCCCAAATGAGAGAATGGAGAGGGAATGGTTACTCTTTGGTCCAACTCCAAAATAGTTTCTCAGAAAGCATGTTTGTGGATCACTAGCTCTGTGAGTTGACCCTTGGTCAGTCAGTGTATTTGAAAAGCCCTCCAAAATATCTCCTTCTTCATGTGGAGGTTCATAATGCTGAGCAACATTTTGAAGCTCCTAAGATCTGCAGTCTAGAAACCTGTTTAATAAGTAGTTCTCAGATCCCATTCCACTGCTACACAGGTATAACACGTTTTCCTTAATCTTCACTTCTTAACATATTGGGATGTGGGTTTTGTTTTTTTTGTTTGTTTTGGGTTTTTTTTCAGTGTTGAGGTCTGAACACAGGGCTTTGTGCCAACAAGACAAGAGTGCTACCATTGAGGCACGTCCCCAGCCCTTGGATTTTTAAGGCAGGATCTCTCTATATAGCTCAAGCTGGCTTTAAATTCACAGTCCTCCTGCTTGTACATTTTGAGTGCTGAGATACCCGTATGCGCCACGGTGCCTGAGTAGTATATTCTTTCCTGAAATAAAGTACTTAACTATAATTATATTTTTATTTCCCATGAAATGAACTATATAAACTCATGGCACTGAAGTTCAGACCGCTGCCCAGGAAGAGGCTGCAAAAGAGCCTGGATTTCATTTGGAGACTTTTTTCTAAGTAGCACCCTAACCTTCCCACAGATTCTTCAGGGATCTCTGCTCAGCCCCTAGGAATCGTGGGATATCAGGAAAATGACTTTGCCAGCCTCACCTGTAGGAGTGCTTTCTTGTCAGGCAGGACACTTCCCTCCCTTTTCCCGGATAGTAAATAATCATTCCATAGGGAAATGGTGACGAGGACCATGAGAAGGTGCCCAAAAATCAAAACGCAGATGAAAGTTCCAGATACCTCTGTTGAATTAGTTCACGTTTCTGCCTTACTTCCTGCAGGAAGTGATAGTTTGCCCCAACCGGCCTGTGACAGGATGAGATAAAGCAATGGTTTACAAGCCCTCATTCAACACATTAGAAGAAAATCTCCCCAGCACTGTTTCAGTGTAATGGAAAATCTCCACAGCCCACTTTACTTGTCAACTCTGACCTACTTTTGGACATTACTGAGAAATTCCTTGATGAGGATGTTGGCTGTGTTCCTCTTTTCCCCTAACTCCTCCCCTAGACAGGTGTGTGTGGAAGAATCATTAGAACTTTGGAAAGTGGCACACCACCCAGTCAGTTCCTGAACAGTAGAGAATTAACAATGGAGAGTAAAAGCAACTGGATATTAAAAGGAAATTATCTTTTTCAGATTTCTAAATATATTTCAAGATAATGTAGAAAATTCAAACTAAGCATTTATTTTATTTTTTTAATTCAAGTATTGGGGACTATGTTCCTGTTGCATTAAAAGCATGTGACAATTCATTAACTTATACTAAGCACCCACTGCTTAGAACGTTTCATTGTGAATACCAAGGACACAAAGGTGGCAACTGGATTATGGATACAAATCTAATTTTAGAAGTGTATAATGAGGGGTAGGGAGACAGCTCAGTTGGTAAAGTTCTTGCTGTAACCACAAGGACCTGAGTTCAATTCACAGAACCCTAATATAAAAGCTGGGTGCAATGGTATAACTCTAAAATGACAGAGCTGGATAGGCAGAGACAGGCAGATTCCTGGGGCTCACTGGCCAGCCAGCCTAGCATAATCTAAGAGCCTGGGGTCCCAACGAGAGATCTTGTCTCAGAAAACCAGGTAGGTAGGCCAGGGAGAGGACTCAGAGGGTAAAAGCACTTGCCCACAAACTCTAGGACCTGACTTCTGTTCCTGGGACCCACACCATTGAAGGAGAGAACCAGCTCCTTCAAGCTGCCCTCTTACCTCCACACACGTGACATACTCTCACATGTGCCTGTGCATGCATGTGTGCATGTATGGTCAACCCCCCCCCATATATACACTAAATAAATGTAATTTTTTTAAAAATATTTTATTATTTTTATGTGCACGTGTGTATTGCTTGCATGTAGGTAAGTGCACCCTTGTCATGCAATGCCCGCAAAGGACAGAAGAGGCTGTGGGATCCCCTAGAACTGGAGTTACTGACAGTTGTTAGCTGCCATGTGGGTGCCGGGATTCGAACCTGGGTCTTCTGCAAGAACAGCCAGTGTTCTTAACTGCTGAGCCATCTCTCCAGCCCCAATAAGTATAATTTAAAAAAAAAAAAGAAGCTAGATGGGAACCTGAGAAACAACACCTGAAGTTGACCTCTGACATCTATGTGTACCCGCACACTCATTCATAAAAGTGAATAATGAAGTTTTATAGGCTATGGCTCCTGTCTTCAAGAGATTTCCGGTCGTGTGTGTGCGTGTGTGTGTGTGTGTGTGTGTGTGTGAGTACCTGTGTGTGGTGTATACACACGTGTGTGTAGCTGCTCACTGAAAGCCAGGGGAGGTTTTGTGCCCTGTTCTATCACTCCCTGCCTTATTTCTTTGAGACAAGATCTCTTATTGAGCCTGGAGCTGGGCTGGTGGCTAAACCCCAAGAAGTTTAATCATTATCCCCAAACAATAATGTACACATGTACACTCAATTCTCAATTGTAGATGGCAGTCCATGTTATTTATTCCTGTATTAATTGTCAGAATATTCATTGAGACACTCAAAGGAACCTTCCCATGGTAAATTTCCAATGGCAATTCTCTGTTCTAAGAGCCAAATGAAATGCTTGCATGGATTTTTAAAATATGAAAATTGCTTTCCTTGCTTTGATGAGGCCCATTCTTTTCTTTTTGCTTGCTTGAATTTCAGACTGACTCTATCAGGGGAGATTCTTCACAGAGATAGCACCTCTGGCTAAGGTTCTGTGACTTCTTTGTACATTAGCAGCCATGAAAAATACATGGATATGTTGGCTTGAAATTGAATTTTAGTAACTGACTGTGGCTTTGATCTTCATACTTGAGTAAAGAAGGAAAGAACTCAACTTTCCCACTAGTTGGATGTGACACATATATCTAACACAAATGGTGATTTCCCACTGTTATTTATGTTTAGGTGGCATGTTGCCAGCAGGAGTGAATGCAGTGCCCAGTGTGGTTTGGGTTACCGCACTTTAGACATCTACTGTGCCAAATACAGCAGGCTGGATGGGAAGACCGAGAAGGTTGATGAAAGCTTTTGCAGCAGTCAGCCCAAACCAAGCAACCAGGAAAAATGCTCAGGAGAATGTAACACAGGTGGATGGCGCTATTCAGCTTGGACAGAAGTAAGTTGGCTCTCACTCCTTTCAGAGCCTCCTCAGATTGTAAGTCTGATGAGTTGATGGTGACTCCTTCTGAGATTGTGTTAAGAAACCCATTTGAGCCATACTAGAAAGAGAACTGTGATTGATTTGTAATGCCTGACCAAGTCAAGCTCTGCAGGAAAGAAGCCCAAGATTGATTTGTAATGTCTGACTTGGGTAAGGCATGTGAGTGGTAAAACAAACCAACCAGTAACTTTCCTATATCCTAATTTTAGTTTCCCTTTGCCAATGAGATAATACTGACTTTAGTAGAAACCTAATAAATAGGTAGCATGAAGAAAAAAAAATCTCCATAAAAACTACAATTGGCTATTGTAGGCCATTTGTTTCTTAAGGGTGAATGAAACAGCACAATCAACATCTTAAGCATGCCTTAGGAGAAAGTCAGTAAGTACCCTATTTAATTTTTTATACCCAGTGTTCTAAAAGCTGTGATGGTGGAAGCCAGAGAAGAAGAGCTATTTGTGTCAACACCCAAAATGACGTCCTGGATGATAGCAAGTGCACACATCAGGAGAAAATAACCGTGCAGAGATGCAATGAGTTCTCTTGTCCCCACTGGAAATCGGGAGACTGGTCAGAGGTGAGAAGGGCCAGCTGCTGTTCCCTGGGTCAACTCAGATACCCCTCTCTCCTGATCTATTGATGGTTAAGCCTACCGAGCCTCTCTTCTTCCTCTCTTGAGGAAGCAATGACCCCAGTTCCCCATTTACACCATGACTAAAGTCCTTTAGCCCACCACAGACCTCAGAATCACCAGGGCCTTGACTAAAGCACCCATCACCAGCTTCTGCTGGTGACTTTGAAGTAGTAGCTCCTCACTTTCCCTCCTCTTTGAGCTGTAAGCTGCTGGCTGAAAATTGGGGCTTTAGTAAGCATAATATTAAACTAGTTTAGACTTGGGTTCAGATGAGTTTTCCATCTTCCTTGTCATTGAACTAAGATAATTAGACATCAGTGAATGACCCACTGCACTTAACATATCCAGGCACTTCAGAGCACTTGGAAAAAAGAAAAGACCAGACTGCATATTCTAGATTGATGTCTTGCTCACACCTTGCTTTATGGAGCCCAAGTCAAACCCATGATTGCTTGTGACCGCAGGACAGTCAGAGAAAGAATGGCAGTAAAAGAAAGAGTGGTCATACTATTAATGTGGCCTGGCATTAACACAGCCCAGTGAGAATCACCCTGAGACAGAGACTCACTCCACCTCCTTCAGGGGATGCAAGTGGATGGGGAATAGACATGCTTTATTAACTGTCCAAGCCAGGAGTGTCAGGTAACAGAGTTGTTCTAACCACAGCTCCTAATCCATGCCTTTACCTTATCCATGTGAATGTGATATTAACTGTTTACTTTCACCATCAAATCTAAAAAGGATAGTGTTAATGTTACTGGAGCCATGGAGAAGCAGCAATGCGTGTCATTGCCAGTGTCTGATTTGTATACAAATTATCAGCAAACTTAGTGCCTTTACCATAGGTGAAACTCTAAATACTTTGTTTTTAAAGAGACGAAAGACAGTAGTGGCTTGAAAATTATTTGGATAGCTAATACTAGTTGAAGTTGCATTTAAAAATTAAGAAATAACCAGGTGTGATGGTGCATACATATAATCCTATGCTTGCTATCTCCATTTTACAGAAATGTGCTGAAAATATTGCAGCACAGAAATGATATGACTTAGTTATATAGGTATTAAAACTCAGGATGGTCTGACTTCTAATTCCCTGTACTTAACCTGTGTGCTAGAAATAGTAACTACTCTTTCTAGCACTTCACAGCACAGTGTTCTGTTGAGTTTATTCTGTGTTTGAACCTGGCTCAAGACCATAAATACAGAGGAGTGGGGGAGGAGGAGGGGAGAGGGCGAGCAAAACAGAAAAGGAAAGAAGGAAGAGGATCCACAAGAGGAAGGGAGGGAGGGATGCGGAGGAAGAAGCGAGGGCGGGGGGGACTATAGGGGACAGATGGGGAGGGAGTCCCTCAGTTGGTAGAGTGCTTACCTAGCACACACAGAGCTCTGGGTTGGATCCCCATCACTATGTAAACTGGACATTAGTGGGGCATGGCTGCACCCACAGGAGTTGGGAGGCAGAGGCAAGAGGATCAAAAAGTTCAGCCATCCTCAGCTATGTAGTGAATCTGAGGTCATCCAGGGTCCTTTGAGACCCTGTCAAGAGAAAAAGAAAAGAGAAAGAAGAGAAGAGAAAAAAAAGCCACAAAAAGAAAGTAATGGAAGAAAGCTGGATGCATCTGAACGTTGCCGCCAGCCCCCAAGAGAGGTTAGGCGTGGGAAACAGCCACCTGTTCTCATCAGTGAACAGCCACCCTAGTCCTAGCACATTGATCGGAAACAGCCTTGACTGCCTCTGCTTTTCATTCCAGTGCTTGGTCACCTGTGGAAAAGGACATAAGCACCGCCAGGTCTGGTGTCAGTTTGGTGAAGATCGATTAAACGATAGAATGTGTGACCCTGAGGCCAAGCCAGCCTCCATGCAGACATGTCAGCAGCCGGAATGTGCAGCCTGGCAGGCGGGTCCCTGGGGACAGGTATTTTAAATGATAAGATTCTTAACAGCATTCTTTCCCGCTTATCTGAAGAGGGTTTACAGAGGGGCATTCCAGTGGTGGGGTTTCATCATTGCACTGTGTGACTCCCACTGAACCTCAGTGGCCCAGAGTCCAGCACATGGGACTCCACAGCCAGCTGCCCTGCACCCCTTCAAGAGTTACCTATCCCTGCTGGAGCTGATTACTCCGATTACAGTCGCACGTGCAGGTTTTCGCCCTGTGGTTTAAACTGCACACAAGTGTTTAAACAAATTCACATCAGACAGGCGTCTGGATGATGTAATCTTCCTGGGAGTAAGTGTCTGTGGGTACATGATCCTCCACCAGCCATTTTTGACAGGAAGGTTTGTGCTGGAACTTGGAAAGGATATTGGCTGCCATCAGGAATCCAAAGCTCATCTCTCATAAGTGAGAGTCTTCAGACACAATGAGATCAAAGGGTGCAGAATCATAATCATCAGTTTGGAAAGAATTTTTCCCAGTCCTCCGGTGTAACAGGTTCCACTGCTTTAAACTTCAGCTGTTCCTAACGGAGAGAGTACAAGTCCCTTGAGCTCCAGTTTACTCTTGGAATCCAGTCTTTCCTAATATAGAAGCGAGAGAGCTCTGCGTCCTATTTAAGCAGCACTCCAAGTTCCCAGTACAAGTAGAACAGCTGTCTGCTGTCACTTATGCAATCTCTTGAAGAATGATTCTCCCTCTACCCTGACCAGCCACAGCCACTTCTGTCCTTTAGCCTCTGTCTTCATTTCCAAACTTTCGTGCAATACATGGGAGCAGCTTTTACGACCAGAACTTGAGCTTCCTCGTCTGTGCTATCTTTTTACAATGTGTCTTATTACATTTGTGTGTGTGTGTGTGTGTGTGTGTGTGTGTGTGTGTGTGTGTTAGAGCATGTGTATAATGTCAGAGGCCACCTTTGGAGCCGATTCTCTCTTTCCACCATGTGAGTCCTGGGGATTGAACTTGCATCATAGGCTTGGAGGCAAGCATCTTAACCCATTGAACCATCTCACTGGTCTCATATTGATAGTCTTCTGCTAGAATCATCCACTGCAGAGCATCCCCAGTCCAGTGGCTGTTCATGTCTGAATAAGGGGAGAGTCCTTTTAGCCTCCAAAATAGTGCCTGCTATGTGTCTAAATCTGCATAGCATTTAGGGACTAACAAGAGGATGACAATGCACCTAGGGATCACTGTCGAGGTATGACTTGTTACATCTAAAACTGACAGCCCTGTTTCCATCTATGTCTATACTAGGCCATCTTTGGTCTATCTCTTGTCAGAGATTTGATCTTTCTTTGACCATGAAATTTAGATAGACATACAGTGTTTAAGATCATATATGTTCAGGGGCTGGAGAGATGGCTCAGCGGTTAAGAACACTGGCTGTTCTTGCAGAAGATCCGGCTTCAAATTCCAGTACCCACATGACAGCTAACAACTGTCCATGACTCCAGGGTATCTGACAGCCTCTTCTGTCCTCCATGGGCATTGCACAACACGGGTATACTTATGTACATGCAGGCAATACACACATACACATAAAATGAAAATAAATGAAATATAAAAAAGATCATATATGTTCATAAGAAAATTTACAAAATATGCTTTAGCAAAGAGGAGAAAATCAAACACATTTCTGACTATAGACAGAAATTATGCTAATATGCTTTTTATTGTTTTAATACTTTTAAAATTTGCATTGGAATTGTACTTTGCCTATATCTTTGATTGAATAAAAACTCACAGGACATAAAATTAGCTGTTTTAAAGTGAACAAATCAGTAGTATTTGGTTATTCATGTTTTGTGACCTATATCTACTTTCAAAATATTTTCCACACTGCAAAACAAACCCTAGATATGTTCAGTAGTCATTTTCCATTCCCTTCTTTCCCTTGCCCTTGGCAGTTTGTATTTTGTGTCAGTGGAGTTGCATGATCTAGACATTTCAAAGAACTGGCCTTATGTAACGTATGGCACCTTGTGGCTGGCATCAGTCATGCAGCATAAAGCTTTCAGCACTCACCTGTACAGTAGCGTGTATCAACACCTCCTTTAACTTCTCAGCCATAGTCCCCCATGTGGATAGAGCACAGTTTGTTCATTCCTTCATCTGAAATGACACTTGGCTCTTTACGCATTTGGGCTACTATGCATTTTGCTGATATAAATATTTATGAACAAATATTTACTTTAGCTCCTGATGCCACTTCTTTGCAATTTATTACATAGGCATGTAACTGTTGTATCTTATAGTAATTCTGTATTTAGGTTTTTAACTTACAAGTGGTTTTCCATAGAGGCCAGAAATATATAAGCAATATACAGTTTCTCCATATCCTTGTCAACAGTTACTATTCCCATTTTTTGAAATCACAAACCTCCAACTGAGGGTAAAGTGGTATCACATTGTGGTTTTGATTTGTATTTCCCTAGTAGCAGACCATTCTAAGCAATTTGTTATGCGCTTCTTTGCCATTTGAACATCTTCTTTGGAGAAATGTCTATTCTAAATGCTTGTCCATTTGAAAATATTATAATTCTGATAAAATACATTTAACATAAAATTCACCCCCTTGGGGCTAGGAATGTAGCTCAGTTGGTAAAGTGGGATGTCACAGTACATCTAACTTTTTCTAATTTATCTGGTGGCTTGAAACTTTGCTAATTTGGTTATTATCTATAGTCATTGCTTTACATATTCTTTGGCATTTCCTTATTTATGTTGATGATCCCTGCAAGTGGAAAAGGTTATCCATCTCTGTTTCCAAGTTGCAGGCCTATTATTTCTTTTCCTTGTTTAATGTCTCAGCTAGAACTTCCAATATGGTAATAGTAGCAGAGGTGATAGTAGGCATTCTGTTCATATTCCTGGTCTTGAGGAAGAGTCTTCCACCACTGGGTGGGATGCTTGCTGTGGGGTTTTCATAGATGCCTGTTATCGCATTGAAGATATACCCTTCCATTAGTGATTTTCTGAGTGCATTTGCATGAAAAGGTATTTAGTTTTGCCAAATGCTTTTGTTCTTATCAACTGAGATGATCATAGGTCTTTCTTTGCTACCTTTTTTGTGCTAATGTGGTATATTTCATTGATTATTTTCAAATATTGAACCAACCTTGCATTCCTGTGCTTAATCTCACTTGGCTATGATATGTAATTGTTTTAATATAGTGTGTGATTTGATTGCTAGTATTTTCTTGAAAGGATTTTACATCTTTACTTACAAAAGATATTGCTCTATTTTCTTCTTTTCTTTGGTTTTGATATTAAGGTAAATCTGACCTTGAGGAATGAATTAGGAAGTGTATCCTCCTCAATGATTTGGAAGCATTTGGAATGGAATGATGCTAGTATTTCTTTGACTATTTATTAGAATTCACTTGGACTTTATTGGGGATGCTTTGATTACTGATTCAATCTCTTATAGATATATTTATGTTTTTATTTCTTCTTTTATTTTTGGTCCTGGGGATTGAACCTAGGACCTCACACATAATAAATATGTGCTCTCTACATCTCCTGTCCTCTGTTGTTTTTTGATTCTGTATTTCACCCATATCTATTCTAATGTTTGTTAATTACTTTCTTCTTCTGGATTTAGCTTTCTCTTCCTTTTGTTCCTTGATATATAAAGTTAGGTTATTAATTTGAGATCTTCCTTCTTCATTTAAACAGCTGTTTGTGGCCATAAATTTCCCTGGGAGGCCTGCTTCATGGTGTCTCACTAATTTTCTTCTATTTTGTTTTCATCTCCACTCTCCCCTAATGTGTTTTACGACGTCACTGTGCTTTGTTTTGTTTGCTTGTTTAAGACTATATTAGTTCCCACATCTTTGTGGATTTCCCAGTTTTGCTTCTGTTACTGGTCCCTAGTCCCCTTCCATTATGATCAGAGAAGATATTTTATGATACTGTCTTTTAGACATATTGAGACTGACTTGTGTCTTTACTTGTGGCCTATCTTGGAAAAATGTTTCTTGTGCGTTGAGAGATGTGTATAACACAGCAGTTGGAAAAGCAAAAATGCCATGACACTTTGTCACCTATATTTGACAGCTGCTTTCCTCACTAAGTACTCATTTACTTGCTGCAAGCTTTAAAATTAAACACCCAGTTCTAAAAATAGTTTATTTTTCTGTTATTGCCAGCGTCATGATTTCTGCAGAGGAGGGACCAATTCCTGCAGCTTCATACTCTGCCTTATTTGCAACATCACCCCCCCTTCCTGTTTCTTGGCCTACAACTATAGCAGTGTGCCTTGCAGTAGCTGCAGCCATCTCTGCACTACTCATATGCTAGGATATATTTAACTAATTTTTTTGCCTGTTACATGTTTAGGTGCTTTCCAACATCATATCATTTAGAAATAATATTGCAAAGAATATCTTATGCAAAAATATTGATGGAAATTTCAGTTCTTTCCTGAAAATTATATTTCAGAAGTCAAATAAGACTATAGAGTTCTGCTAAGTACCTGCTTTAGCCATGATACTGTGATAGGCAGAGTGTGAAAGGCAGGAAAATCATGGAGATCTGCTCCCCTTCTGAAGCTCACAATCAAGGAGCTCAATTCCCACAGGTGTAATTCCAGTGAAGACAGATAAATCTGAGTGTCACTGTAATTACTAGCCAGTATAATCTGTATGGAGCAGGATTGCATATTTTTACCTAATCTCTGGGTGCCAGCACCCTGGCCCACTATAATAGAAGGACTTTTCTCTTGTAGAATGCTGTGGGGTAAGAACATGAAACAGAAGGTTTGCTGAAATTTTTGTTTGGTTTCTTTCCCCCAGTGCAGTGTGACTTGTGGACAGGGATACCAGCTAAGGGCAGTGAAGTGCATCATTGGTGCTTACATGTCAGTGGTAGATGACAATGACTGTAATGCAGCAACTAGACCAACTGATACCCAGGTGAGTCTCCTGTTTCAACTCAGTTATTGGCATTGGGCAGTAAAAGGCCAAAACTTCCCAGTGGTTTGACAAAACTGAAGCATTCTCACAGATAACTATTTAGGTACAGCAAGTGGTGGATTCAATTATCTGAAACTGTTTGTTAGGGTCTCAACCTAATATCTTATTTTACTCGTTTTTTTGTTTTGTTTTGCTTTGTTTTTTCCCCAGTTGTTTAAGTATCTGTAGGTTAGATTTTGATTCTTATTTAATGGCCCATGTTGACTGGTTTCGCTCTCTCTCTCTCTCTCTCTCTCTCTCTCTCTCTCTCTCTCTCTCTCTCTTTGGTTAACATTATTCATTTGAAGAATCCAGTAGGTACAAGTTTGGAGCAGTTCTCAACAACCACCTAACACATTTTTATAGGATTGTATGCTGGAGGTTAAATGTAGCCATTCTTAAAATTGAAAACCATGCAGATAAATCCTTAAAACTTATCACTTATTAGCTCATTAGGTGTGACCGTTATCTGTGCTCTCAAGGTCATTTGCATCTGTTTGTATCTATAGTGTGCTACAGAGCATTTCTTCTCGACTCTGTAATTGCTATCAAGGTCAAGTGTGTAGCTTGAAACTGGCCATAGTGTTATGAGCTAGTAGCATAATTTAGAACTTCACTTATTGCTTTGTCCATTTGGAGCAGTTCTGGCTTAAGAAAGTGATAGAGAAAATGTAAATAGTTTGTAGCTATTACATTGTGAATAGCACCCCCAGAATGAGGAAATGTTCATCTAGTATTTGAAAATTATTGTCTGATTCTTTAAGGAATTTTTTTCAGTAAGATAAGGTCTCATATAGCCCAGGATCACTTCAAACTATGTAGCTGTGGATGACCTTGAACTTCTAATCTTCCTGCTACCAACTCCTAAGTGCTGGGAATACAGACATGTGCCACCATGCTTGGTTTAATGAAGCCTTGGAGCTTCAACCTAGAGCTTCATGTATGTTAGGAAAGGACTCTACAAACTGAGCTACAACTCCAGTCCTCAAAAAACTCAAGGTGGTAGTCAGTGAGTCAGAGGTTCTGACAAACATTGTCATTTCCCTTTCATCTTCCTCTTGAACATTAAAAAACAATAGTCAAATAACACTCAAACCTGAACATATCTTTTTAGCAACTACAATCATCCTTTGGCAATAGGTTCAAAAGTTGGACAAAAATCAGTAAGTTTTTTGTTAGAATCAGTTGGCCATATGAAATTTGAAATAATTGCTTCAATATTACTTGTAAATCATTTGCTACACATCATTTAACTCAGTAAAGTTGAAAACTAAGTAGACAAACTCATATCTACATGTAATGTCTACGTGCTGGGCTCCTTCAGCATGTGTCATTTATGGATTAAAAAAAAACTACAAAAAGCAAATCTGCTGTTGATCATGTTATTGTTGCTTATCAAGTACTAACAAGAGTACTAACGTATATAATAATGCTTTTATTAATTTTTTATAATTTTATTAAAATGTTCAAGATGACAGAGTTGGGGGGACAAAAAGATAGCCCAGTTGGGAAAATGCTTGCTGCACAAACGTGACAAAATGAGTTCATATCCCCAGGAACCATATATCATGTGTCTGGACCCCCAGAAGTAAGTGGAGGGTGAGGGGGCAGAGGCAGGCACATTCCTGGAACTCAGCAAGTCTAGGCAATCAGTGAGATTCACATTGAGTGAAAGACCCTGTCTCAAAAAAATAAAGTTCAGAGTGATCAAGGAAGATATGTGATATCAGCCTCTGGCCACCACATGCACACACACACACACACACACACACACACACACACACACATGTTATTGGTCCCTAGGAAATATCAGTCATGACTTCTAACATGAGCATCAGGTGAAGACTTAGTGACCCCCTCAGAGATTCAAAGTGGGACTTCCCTCTATGTCATTCTATAGTGTCCATTTGGCCATAGGGTGTCTCCCATGCAGACAAATACTTTGCAAAAGTCCCTGTGACTCTCTTTGGACCACAGACAAAGGAAAATGAAAGGTCTGGAGCCAGGTAATAGTATCTTCACTCCATGTATAAAGTTTTACGGCAAGGAGACATCAGTTATGTTCAATATCAGGCTCTAGCACTTTGCACCATGTCTGCCAACTCTTAGGCATTTAATGGCCACATATTAAATCAAAGAGGAGTTGGCAACCTCTGAGGCTGGGAATGGTTATGAGCAGGTGTGTGCTTTTGTTTTCCTATCTGTAAATCTGAGACTATTACCCACACACAGCTGACTGAGCTCACTATAGCAACTTTCTGAGTGTTTGAGGGGTATTATAGGAATTCCAAGCGCTGCCTGCTGAAAACTCCTTTCATATCTAGATTTGACCTTCAGGGCCTTGGGTATTATCTTTAGGTTCCCTGGGAAAACGTGTTCATGATTAGCAAATTTTGATTAGGAAACTACCTGAACTATGAGAACACAATTTAGCCTTGAGAATCTATAAACATTAACAGTTAATAATTTTTAAATGTTAGCCTGCTCTTTCCAGGCATATGTACTGCTTTGAGATGTTTTCTGTCTTTTCCTATGAACAGGTGAACAAACATGGCTTTAACAATCATTAAGTAGATGTGCCCTCAGTTAAGGCCATTCAGAAAGTGATTCAGATTATATCCTATTTTCTTATATGCCATGACTGTTTCTTAATAAGTGTGCATTAACTCAAAAGTAACTGTTTTCCCCTTTCACACCTAGGACTGTGAATTATCATCATGTCACCCTCCCCTGCTGGCTCCAGAACCAAGGAGAAGTGCACACAGTGTGCCCAGGACCCAGTGGCGATTTGGGTCTTGGACTCCAGTAAGAAATGGACTGGGAGAAGTGGGAAGGTCTGGAGAGGAGACAGATGATCTCTAACTTGACTATAGAAAGTGGGCTAAGAAATTGTTTAAGAAACTGGCTTAAGAAACAGCAAGAAGCCATTTTAAACTACCCCTCTGTGTCATTTTACTCCAACACCAGTGCTCAGCCACTTGTGGAAAAGGTACCCGGATGAGATATGTCAGTTGTCGGGATGAGGATGGCTCTGTGGCTGATGAGAATGCTTGTGCTACCCTTCCTAAACCAGTGGCCAAGGAAGAATGTTCTGTGACACCCTGTGGGCAGTGGAAGGCCCTAGATTGGAGCTCTGTAAGTGTGAATTCTGGGTGGAAGGTAGCGGGGTAGAACTGGGGAAACAGTGGGATGGATAAAGAGTTGAAGGGTCCATAATGTGAGTGGGTAATAGTTCAGAATTGGACTTAGTTTGTGATTTAAATTATCCTCTTCCACATATGGGTATCTAGATAAGTATGAAAGAAATCTTAGTCAAATGTGCAAGGAATGCACATTAAAAAAAAGTTGAATCCATTTATATTCTGCTTGAGCACTGGTCTTGGGCTGATTGCAAATCTGTGTGCATTGAGTCCCATCAGTATATAGAAGGCTTATAAAGCCCCCAAAGTGACAGGGACAGGAAGAGTGTTGGGAAGCATTGCTCAAGCATTCTGTGATCCTTCAAAGGCAGGTGGCTCTTGGTTGCTACCAAGAGTGGGCAGGGAGGCCTTCCTCCAGTGCCCCCAGCCCAGTCTCATGAGCACACAGGCCCCAGCTGTTGACTTTTTATAAAAGTAAAGGAACCTTTCCTTCAGGCGGCTTATTATTGGCCCTGCAGTATTCCCAGAATACAGGAAGTATATCAGGATAGATGGGGGTGGGGGGCTGAGGAAAATAAAGATTAATATTTCAAGAAATCTCAAAATATATATGAGCCATGAGATGTGGAATCAAATAGAACCATGGAGAAATGCAGATCCTGCCACGTATTGGTTGCATAATTTTGAGCAATCTAGTTCAAAATTTTTGAGCTTCATTACATTAACCCTGACAAAGGAAGGTGACACTTTTCTTGGACAAGAGAGGTAAGGGTGGAAACAGAAGTGGGTGGAGTGGGATGTCTGTGAATAGTGAGTCGGCAGCATTTCTTGATGAACTGATACAGGATGGGAAAGAAAAGGAGCATTAAGGATAATTCTAGGACTTGTAGCTTGGTAACTGGGAATTTCGTGAGCTGCTTAAAGAATCATTCATCCAGGAACTTCAATCTGACCACCAAATGACCAGCCCTCTTTCTTTCTGAACATTCAACATAGTGCTCTGTGACATGTGGGCAAGGTAGGGCAACTCGGCAAGTGGCATGCGTCAACTACAATGACCATGTGATTGATCGGAGTGAGTGTGACCCGGATTATATCCCAGAGACCGACCAAGAATGTTTCATGTCACCATGCCCTCAACGGACCCCAAACAGTGGCTTAGCTTATCACCCATTCCAAAACGAGGACTTTCGCCCTAGGAGTGCCAGCCCTAGCCGCACCCATGTACTTGGAGGAAACCAGTGGAGAACTGGCCCCTGGGGAGCAGTGAGTATCCACGCTTCTTGCTTCTCTAACACCTGAGGTAGTGCCTGGAGGAAAACGGGCTAGAACTGCCTCTGAAGCATTTTTCCTTTGTAAGACTACCGACACACATTTGCATCATGTTGGGTGAAGATAATGGGTTCATCACAGTCCCAGGAAGATGCCCTTGGTGATACAGCCTCTTTTGAATCTAAATGCTGCTGTGATTGATTAGAAGAGGGGGTGTCACTGCTGGGTGACATTATCAGGTGGTCTCCTAGAAGGTATTGTGAAAGCCTTCTTGTCTGAACCTGGCGGCGGTGTGTGTGTTGGGGGGGGTGTTTAGAAAAGGAGTTCGTTTTTTAAAGATTTATTTATTTGTGCATGTGTGCGTGCGTGCGTGCGTGCGTGTGTGTGCGAGACAGCAGGCTTGTGAAGGACAGAGGACAGCTTGTGGGAGTTGATTTTCTTCTTCCACCATTTGGGTCTTTGGGATCTAATTAGGTTATCAGGCTCAGCAGCAAGTGCCTTAACAGGTGAAGGCATCTTGCCAGACTGAAAAGGAGTTTCGTTTATTTATTCATTTATTTTATTTTCTGTGTATGAGTATTTTGCCTGTATGTTATGCAATGCCCATGGAAGCCAGAAGAGGGCATGAATTCCCCTGGAACTGAAGTTATGGACAGTTGGGTGGTGTCATGTGGGTGTTGGGAACCAAATCCAGGCCTATGCAAGAGCAGCCAGTGCTTTTAACTGTGAAGTCATCTCTCTAGCCCTGCAAAGGAGTTTTTAATGGTGGTTCCATGTCCTCTGTGAGCCTGTTTCCTTGCCTGCAAAATAATAACAACATTAAGTCCTGTTTTCTTTGATTTCAAGAATTTTATAAATGAGATGATTCACTTAAAGCTTTGCACCTTACCTGCTATAGAATGATACCTAACAAATGTGGACAGTTATCTTTATTAAGATTGTTCTCTTTGTTTGTTTCTGTTCTTCTCTTTTCTCCTAAGTTAAATAAGGCTTAAGTTGGACAGTGTGCGTTTTGGGCATGTAGTCATATCTGACGTCCCTGGAGAGTGAAATTTGTTCATGCATCCTTGCATTTAATACGACAACTGTGTAAACACAACTTATAGCACTGAGCCCTCATTATATGAGGGTCATAAAGCTTGCAAGTGGCATGCATAATAAAGGAATGATACAAGATTGTATCATCAAAAGGAAACTTGGTAGCTAAAATCTATATTACAAGTCCATTTACAACACTGAAGGCCCTCCTTAGCATTTTAAATTCTGTTCCTCAAACTAATTAAATAATTGTTCCCAGTGTTTTTATTATATATTAATTTATTTGAGACTAAAGGAAAAAATATTCTTAGGTTTAGAGTAAGTGTACCAGAACCTTCAGAAAAGAGAATAGAATTTTTTTTTTTTTGTCTTTTTTGAGACAGGGTCTGCCTGTAGCCCCAGCTGTCCTGGAACTCACTATGTAGACCAGGCTGGCCTTGAACTCACAGAGAACCGCCTGCCTCTGCCCCCCAAGTGCTGGGATTAAAGGTGTGCACCACCACACCTGACAGGAATAGAATTTTTGTAAAAGAAAATACACTTAAATAATTCTCAGATGGAGCTAGTAGATCTGTTCTCCTGCTCTGTGGTTAAAAAGTGAAGATAGATAGGGACTGGAAAATTGGCACTGACTGCTCTTCCAGAGGACCTGGATTCAGTTCCCAGCACCTATGTGACAGCTAACAACAGTCCCTAACTCCAGGGAATCTGAGGACCTCTTCTGGCCTCCAAAGGCATTGCATGCACATGGTATACTTACATGCATGCAGGCAAAACACTCATTCACATAAAATAAAATATAAATAAATAGTTTAAAATATTTTAATGGAGCTACTAGGTAGGGCATATTTTTCTTTTTAAATTACATTTTTATCTGTTTATTTTTATGCATGTGCATGTTTGCAAGGAATCAAAGGATGACTCAAGGGAGTGAGTGCTGCCTTTCCACTCTATGAATCCTGGGGCTCAAACTCAGGTTATCAGCCTTGGTGGCAAGTGCCTTTACCTGCTGAGCCATTTAGCCATCACAAGAGTGCATTTTTCAGTCACTTGTAAATGGACCAGGAAAGGCAGGAAACAGCAGGAAGCTGTTCTTTCCCAGCACAGAAACTGAGCAGTAGTTAAATGCAATCAGCAACTAAAGAATTTCGCATCTTGAGATGGCTAAAGTTGGCTAGGAAGAAGCAAGGTCTGCCAGTATTTTAAAATAGCACTGTCAAGCTCAGGTTGGGTAGGAAGCATAAATCAGCTTTCAGAATTCACAAGTAGGATAGATTTGGTGGTGCCATGCTTGCAATCTCAGCACCCTAGAGTGTAAGACAAAAAAAAAAAAAGAAGAAGAAAGAAAAACATGGAACCTGCAACTAAAATCAAAACACTTAGCTTATTAATTGGAGAGAATTGCATTGCTTTGAGAACTGGATGGTCATTTTATGAGAGCCAGTTTCACAAGGATCATAGTGAAGGATGCTAGCAAACACACTGGGTTCAAGCTGTAAAGAATTTCTGGAGGGAGTGTGTGTACCTACACTCCAGCTGTAGGTACACACAAGAGCTATGACAAGAGTTTGTGGGAAATGAACTGAAATGCAAACACAGCAGCAGCCGTGCCAGAACATTCACCTGAAATGCAGCTGAAGGGAGAGTTGTTAAGATGGAGTTCAATTAAATTCATTGAAAACGTGAAAAACAAATAAAACATACCTTGCTACCGTTAGCCACTGAAATACATGTTCCTGTAAAGGGAGGGAAGGGACTAGTCACTTGTAGGAATAATATCTAAATGGCATTCCGTGGTGCCTTCATGGAGTCATTGAATGAGTTCACATGGAAGTTTGATTTCAACAACTGGCAATTCATTAAGCGTGTAATTCGACCTCTGTGTTGAAAGAGAATTCAAACATTGGCTCTAAATAAACTCTTGATATTTTGAAAAGAATTTCCACGTAAACTATGGCATCCATTGACACTTCTGTGCCTCTCAGAAATGTAGATAGGATGCAGGTGGACAGTAAATGGGGTTGCACTGGAGGTCTGTAGACTTTATCACTCATTAGGGCTTTATTGAACACCCATTGAGGGCCTGATGTGTGTGAAGCCTCCTCCACCCTCCAGGCATGTGAATACATGTGTACAGAGAGCAGCCCCTCCTCGGGGAAATGCCCCATTTCCCAACTACCTTTCTCCACCACATGTGAAGACTTAAGAGCAGTTTCTGTCATTTGTCTTGATCTTTCAAACAGCTGTTTTATGTCCGGGTGGAATGCACATGGAGCTGAGGATTAACTTGATGCCTGGTATGCTTAGTGTTCTAGTACCTGTGCTGGAGGGTCCCAGAGGCGAGTTGTGGTATGTCAGGATGAAAACGGATACACTGCCAGTGACTGTGTGGAGAGAATCAAACCTGACGAGCAAAGAGCCTGTGAATCTGGCCCTTGTCCCCAGTGGGCTTACGGCAGCTGGGGAGAGGTGAGTGCAAACCATTTGCTTGTCTGTCCTTTGACCAAAAGCACTGAGGAGTTATGCTGACTGGAAGCTACTTTTTCATATTTTATTTTACAGAAGAACTGGCTGTGGTAGAAGCTTCTAGATTTGAGATTTTATAGAAGCTTTAATTCTATACTATTTTCAAAATGTACTTATTACCAAAAGAGGACAGCTTGAAAATGTAGGGGAGGAAAATGAAGAAAGAATGTCCATAAATTCAGGTTTAACTTGTTTATTAGTTAACCTCTGGTGATTAAATCAGAGGTTACTTGTAAGTGATGGGAATTTTGTGTTAATTTAGTCCATGGGAGTCTCACCATCCTTGTTACAATTTTGTGTGCACTTGTTTCCATGGCAGAGTGCCTTCCAGTGTTTCCAATTTCTCATGGAACCAGGATGAAAGGCTGTTCTCCCTGCCCCAGGTGACATTAAGTGAATAATAAGAATATAAACTCCAGGGGCTGGAGAGATGGCTCAGCAGTTAAGAACAGTGGTTGTTATTGCAGAAGACCCGGGTTCAAATCCCAGCACCCACATGGCAGCTAACAACTGTCTGTAACTCCAGTCCCAGAGGATCTGACAGCCTCTTCTGACCTCTGTGGGCATTGCACAACATGGGTTCACTTACCTATATGCAGGCAATACATGCATACACATAAAAAAAAATAAAAAAAAAAAAGAATATAAACTCCAATAATGAAATTCTTTGTTACCTTTGCAGAGTTGCCTATTTTATCTGGTAAAGAGTAACACAGTGTTTGCAGTGCATAAAATCAGGTCACTTCCTGCCTATGACTCTTATCAGCTCTGTGATCTTGGCAAGTAACATAACTTTGCCCAATTTTCATATCACCACCTATAAATTGGAACAGTAACAGTACCACCTTCATGGTGTTTATGCTAGATGTGATAGTGCCTAGCAAATGACTAATATGTAGCCTTCAATCAATTAACTGATATGATAATGTAATAATAGCCTACATTGTTAAGATTGAGAATAATGATAAACATTGACAGTACTAGTGTTGGAAGTTCTAAGCTCCTATTATATTTACTAACAGGACTTACAGCATCTTATTTTGTGATAACCAAGAAAATGTCTGTAGGAAATGAACATACTTGAAGCTTGTTGAGTCGTTTCATCTTGGCTGTTTAATCAAATAGAGCCTGGTAATTAACACCTGGGAGACCCTAGTACCAAGAGGAAGAGAAAGATATACTAGATGACAGGCCCTTAGCCACATTCTTGTGTCTCATGGTCTCATACACGTAACCTAGTAGTCACAGGCCAGGGATATTTGTTGACTTTCACTGAGAGTTACATCATTCTGGACAGTGTTGCTGGGGGAGCGGGGTGGGGGGGCGGCCGGGGGGGGGTGTTAGGGATCTGAGACACATGTGCTGCAAATCTTCCCAAAACTCTGTGCTCGCTTCTGTCCTGTGGGACCCATGATTAGGCTTCTGTAATTGGACCCAAGCCAGTCAAGTAAACGCCTTTGCTGGGATCTTTCGGTCGTCATGGACTGACCCTTCCAAGAGCTGTGGGAGATCTGGCCTTGGCACAGCAGGGAAACTTAATGTCTCTGTTCCTGGATATGAGCTCAGTGCTGTTCAAGAAATACAACTCGTTCTTTTCTCACAAGTGTGACTCTTGCCAGGAGTCAGAACTTCAGTTAGCATTTCCACCATGCAGTTTATTCATCCTAAAGGCAAAACATAACTATCCTAAGATTTGGAAACAAAGTTAAATAGTTGAGCATCCTGATTAGACTCAAAGAATCAGTTCCTGACTACTTCATAAAAGTTGCTGGATCATACTGCCTGGTATATAACTCAGTAGTAACAAGCTGGACTCAATCCCCAGCAACATTTAAAAATACAATTTGCAGTTGGGTGTGGTTTCTTATCAAGAGGCTGTAGCAGGAGGCTCAAGAGTTTGAGACCAGTCTGGATTATAAGGCAGTCTAGACTACAGAGTGAAACTTTGTCTAAAGAGAGAGGGAGGGAGAGAGAGAGAGAGAGAGAGAGAGAGAGACCAGCCTAGCCTAGACTACAGAGTGAAACCTTGTCTAAAGAGAGAGAGAGGGAGAGGGAGAGGCGGGGGAGAGAGAGAGAGAGAGACCAGCCTAGCCTAGACTACAGAGTGAAACCTTGTCTCAGAAAGGAAAAGGTTAGGGGTACACACTAGGGAAGCAGACAGGAAGATCTCTGAGTTCAAGACCAGCCTGATCTACATAGTGAGACCCTGTCTCAAAAAAACAAAAAAGAAAGAGAAAGTCAATTGCCAGATCAGAGAATAAAACTGGATAAATCATTATCTTCTTTATTTAATATTAGGCAGTTTCCAGTTATTTGTTTGTTTATTTATTTATTTGGTTTTGTATACCTCAAAGAATTTTATCTTAACTACTTGTTAATGGATTGAGCTTAGGTTAACTCCTTAACCTTTAATATATGGGGCAAATAACTGTACTCTCTACTTGATAAAATGAGCTATATTACGATCCTTAGTACAGATGTAGAGGAAGCCCTCCCTGAGGGATGGATATCCTCCGTTCAAATCTGGGAACCATGGTATCATTGTTGGTAATTTGCCTTGGTTCTGTCTGCCACCCAATGCTGTAATAGAGAGTAGCCAAGAAGTTGCCTGTGGGGAAAGAAAATTCTTCATGGGCTCTTCACACAAAATAACTCCAGCCTTCTTTGTCCTTCTTCCAGTGTACCAAGCTGTGTGGTGGGGGCATGCGAACAAGACTGGTGATCTGTCAGCGGGCCAACGGTGACCGGTTCCCAGATTTGAGCTGTGAAGTTCTCGATAAACCTCCAGATCGTGAGCAGTGTAACACGCATGCTTGTCCACAAGATGCAGTGTGGAGTACTGGCCCTTGGAGCTCGGTACGGCCCTAACTCTTCATGTTTGTTACCCGAACTCTCTAATTAGGAGTATTCTGAGGCATTCTTTCATAATCAACAACTCATTAGAGCATTCTAGAAAATGTGCTATGAGTGGTCTGTTGTTTTCTTCCTATTGTAGGAAGAATTAGCATTGTATGACACTGCCAAAGTGACATTATAGAGTACATATACCTCATACAGGAATGGGTGCCGAGAAGCAGCTTCCTTTTCCTAGAAGAACTGTATGTTTGTACATTGATAATGATTACAACTCAGTAGCAGCCAGTCTTTGCTTTCTAAGCTGTGGTAACTCTGACTGTTGGAGCAAGATTCCTGCTTATTGAGGCCAATGAGATTTTTCTCTTCAGTGACTATAATTTGCCTCCATGTCACTTGGGTTTACCTTGACATAATCACCATAAAGTCTGTGTCCACCAAACAGACTAGTCATTTTGGAAATACAAATGACCAGCAGAGTAGTCATTGATCTGGCTGGTACCTTTCATGGTATCTGAAACTTCTTTCCTCCCCGGACAGGAAGGCAGTCTGAGACTGGTTTTTGCTTTGGTTCTAGTTTCCCTTTGCTAACTGCTTAGCCAGCAACTGGCATTGTGAGACAGGTTTGCCAACGTAAATACTAAACAAACTTCTGGGGCAGCTCTTGGCAAACAGCTCTTGGCAAAACAAATGACTTGGCTAAGCTGGGACATAAGTTACAGAGCCAGTAGGACTATTGCACCTAAGTAGAGTAAATATTCCTATAAATGTATTAATTGCAGTGAAGATGAATTTAGTATTATATAAAGTCATATCCGAAAGTCCTTTGTATTCATTTTGGTTCTGGGAAGATTTTAATCATTCCTAGTAACAGCTGAAGAGCAGATTAACTGACATGATTGGTACCCATTGTGCTTCCAAAGTTAGGGATTCAGCATCTGTGGTCATATGTGCAAGTGTAGGTCTTCAACCTGCTGTACCATTTGAATGGAGTAGAAACCTGATGTGGAGATAGCCCAATGGCACTCCAGTTGGGCCACAGGATCTTCTTCAAGAGTTTAAGAAATGTTACACTGTCACATTTGCAGTTCCCTGGGGGTATTTTGTCCACAATTCTGGTACCCTCTCTAGATCAGTACTTTGAAGAAGACTTGAGATAACTTTAGGACACCAAGGATATACTTTGAGAGGCCCAACTTCCTTCACTGACCTGCAAATAGTGCTGTTCATGAAATTTCCCTTCTCAAGCCCCTGGCATGTTCACCCTGTTCACCAACAACACCAGAATTAAGTTTGAGAAATCCTTTAAGTCTCTCAAAAGTGGTATCTCACTAATTCTGAATAAAATTATTAGCCTTTTGTGAGACTTTCACCAGCCTCCTTATTATATACTATTGTGGTTTGGTGAAAAATAGAAATCTGTTTTCCTTTTCCAGGTTTAGCTCCTTAGATTATCCTATATTTTTCTAGAATAAAATTGCTTAGGAAGATGAAAATATAGTCCTAGAGAGTTATAAATATATGGCTGGGATGTCTGTGTACATATATGTATATGTGTATATATATATACACACAGACATATATACACACATACGTGTGTCTATAAAGATAGTCACATACATGCTTATTTCTCTTCCTTGAGTATTCTTTCAGTGTAGCTTAATATTTTTGCCCAGGATCACCACCCCCCCTACTGAAATTTTAATAGCTTAAATTTTAAAATAGAAGCTACTAATTTTAGCTAAAGACATGAAGCATATTTAATATAGCTGTCCTTCTTGGCTGCATTCAGTTTTCTAAAATATAAGAGAGATGAAGGGAGAGAGTAAAATTTCGGTGTTCTAGTATACACAGACTGTGGATTTAAATGCTGGCTTTACTACCTATGTGATTTCATTGTTTCCTTCATAAAGTAATCGTTAGCTGAACATATATTTAAATGCCTCTACAGTCTTAAGACCAAGGCTTCGTCTACAAAGCTTTTAGATTGTTATTTTTTTAAAAAAAAGAAAAGCTAAATTAAAAGCATTTTGTTTAATTAGATCATTTATAATATATTGATATCCGTGTGTGTGTGTGTGTGTGTGTGTGTGTGTGTGTGTATGTGTGTGTGTGTGTGGAGAGAGCAATCTTTCAGACTCTTACTGCAGGACTTTGATTTTAATTTTATGTTTATTTCCATGGATACTTTGGTATAATGTCTTGGTAATTCTAAATTTCAGCATACCTCAGTGAATTGTGTTCATAGCCACGAAGTCCCTTCTATGGTGCTTTATCATTATAACTACACTGAAATTAACAGTAAAACAAACAAATAAAAAGTGCATTTGAGGTGCTAATATATTGCTTCCAACAGAAAGCAGCTGAGATTGATTATAGGCCAGGGATAGCAATGAATCCTTTAGCGTCTTGCTTTTTGCCCCCAATGACCCACACATGTAGATACTGCCCCTTTAAAGAGAAATTACTGCTGTGTGACACAGCCAAGGTAAAGTGGAGATAGCCTGCCTCCTTCAACACAGTTAGGAAGAAGCAGTGTTTAGGCAAGAACCCCCAAACTTCCGAAGTCTCTAGAATGAAGTTTCTTTGAACTTCAGGGTCAAGTAAGAAAAGAAAACACATTGATTAAGAAAAAAGAAATCTTGCAAAAATTTAACCTTTTCTGTCTTTTTAAAAATAATGCTCTTGGCCTTTGGTACTATTGTGTTTGTGGAACAATGTTCTTCAGCTCCCTTAAACTCTTGAACCAGTCCCAGAAGCACATGAGGCAATGAATATACTTATCCATATAGCAAGGGGGGCAAATTAGAAAAAAAAAAAAAAAAAAATGGGGGAAAAATAAAAAAAAAAAAAAAAAAAAAAAAACCAACTCTGTGTTATCAAGGCAGAACAGGGAGCATCTTACAAGTCAGGAATGTTCTAGAGTGAGCAAATGAGCAAATTCATCTAGAGGAAGAAAGCTAGTCTGTGCCACACACCAGGGTCATTGGCTGCCGTTCTCCTGGCATCCTCCTGGATCTGTTTACTGAGCATCTTAGCTATGGCGGTTCTTCTCTGGAGAAATTGCTTGTTTGGGTTTTTCACGACAACTCTAAAAGTGTTCTCTGAGCCTCGCTTTCGGTTAACGCTTGCAGACCTGCATAATGAGAATTTATGGACTCAGAAAGGAACTGTGCTTTTGTTTTCCGCCTGGCCAACTTAAGAATTTGTGTCTACCTCGTTTTCATGTCAGAGTTTTCAGTTTCTATAGGTAGGAAGAGAAAATGTTTGATGTTGGTATTTTATGACCTCACTGTATCTGTTACTAGAAAAAAATAGATAAATATTGTAAACATTACAACCATTTTTTTCTGAAAATAGTTTTAAGGAATGCCTCTAGGTATTTCCAAATATTTCGAGTGGTACAGATTTCTGTGTTTATATAATAAAGCATATTTATTTTTCCATGTTATTTAATTTTATAAGCAATGTTTTAAAAATCAGTGTATATGAGCAAACCGTAAAGGCAAATAGGCTATGTGAATTAGAAATGAATGTATTTGTTTCTCTTGGTTTTAAAAAGATACATTTTAATTTTGTAAATTCTCTCCATCCTGTCACCCTCTCCCAAACCTGAGTAGCCAAGTGTTAAACTTCATGTAATGAAATAGTTTAAAGTGCACATTTTAAAAGGTTACTTAAAAAATTCCAAACTAGTTATCATTAGTTCTATAAACAAAAATATATGAGGCTAAACATTTTGTTGGTATCTTTTTCTTTTCTAATATTGTTGTCCTGGTTTATTGAGTCTCGGCTATGAAATATAAATGCTCTGTTTATTGAATTTGAAGATAATGGTAAACCATAGTCAGAAAACAACAACAACAAAAAGTGATTAGAAGAAACAGTTCCGAACACATAAGGGAAGCTGGGACCAGGAAAACCAAACAACTAATGCATGTAAATATGATTATACCTTATTCTTTGTATTCAGATAGCTGCAAATGACATTTGTCAACTTTGTTATTTGTTTTCCTTCAGAAACATTTCAGAAAGAATTTATCATCGAAGAAAAATAAAATACTATAGCAATAAAGTTGGACGTTGGAAACTTTCAAGACAGCCCCCCTCCCCCCGCAAAAGATATGTAGATAGCCAGATAGCAGTAGCTCCTTCTGTCACTGGTGACTGGGCTTCTCTCTCATCTTAACCTGTACAGTGAAATTTATACATGAAAGATCCAAACAAAGGGGCTGCTCTTGTGAGGTACAGGTTTTTAAAACTGAGAGGCAAAATAACATTTCAAAGCAGATGATGATAGCAAAGGTCAACTTTACTAAGCATTTACAGTGTCCCATACCATATTAAATACACACAATCCCAGCCTTCCTACACTCCCATGAGGTAGGTGCTGTTAGCAGTTCCCTGCATGGTATAATGATCTGCTTTAGTGACAAGATCTCTCATATCATGGGCTATTAATCATATCTGGGAAGAAAGAAAACAGACTATATTCAGAATGAAGTTTGAGGATCCTCAATAAAAGAGATGCTTAAAAATCAAACATCATCCAGCCTCCACAGTGTTGAGCTAATTCTGACATTGTACAATTAATTCCAACAACAAAAAATCCCAAATCATTACTGCTATTGACAAAATCCCTATAACCAGCAGTAGGGAAGCTTCATATAACTAAAGTTAGGTACTGGCAAAACATTCCTCTCTTTTATGTTAAAGATTCAATTTTGGCCAGACAAGGGTGATGATGCAAAGTTTTTCAACTATGAAAAAAATCCAATTAAATCTAAATTTTAAGTGATGTTTTTACTAAAGTGAAGATGTGCCTTAATTAAGCATATTTCCTCACTATGTAACTCTGTCAGTGTGGTGTATAAAAGATAGATATTTTTGTTTGTTTTGAAGCAACATCTTGCTATAGCACAGGCTGACCTTGAACTCCTTCCTAATCCTCCCATCTCAACCTCCTTGAGTGCTGGATAGTTTTTTGGTTTGGTTTGGTTTTG